CGGCCCGACCTGATATGATCGCGTCATATGGGTTGGGCAATAGCGGTTCACGTCTCATGAGTTTCGAGGAGTTAACACACGCGATGAATGAAGATAATACTGAACTTCATATACAAACCTGTTCTGTGTATTCGTAACTCGGTGTAGAGAGGAGGTTATTTGTCAGACTCCGGTGAGTAAATGTTTAGATATGTTTCTGGCGTATTGAGAGTGTATGTTTTCAATAGAGACGATCGTTAAGAAAATACTCGTGCATTATGGAGGAGTGTAGACGGTCTTTTATAAAGATTCTATTTAAATTGTTTGAAGTGGCATCTTGTTTCTGTATACGCATTTGTGTGTTGATGTAGGAATAGAGTCACGCGCTATATCTTGCCATTAATAGCAATTTGCAATTTTAATAAATAAATAAATTTCGAAAACCTGCTGTTGGGGTCGAAGGTGCATGGGGGATCGGGGAGGGGGGATACATGACGTGTAGATGGTGGACGGGTGGATGAGAGGTGGGAAGATGGATGGGGATCGGGGAGGGGGATACATGACGTGTAGATGGTGGACGGGTGGATGAGAGGTGGGAAGATGGATGGGGGATCGGGGAGGGGGATACATGACGTGTAGATGGAGGACGGGTGGATGAGAGGTGGGAAGATGGATGGGGATCAGGGGAGAGGGATACATGACGTGTAGATGGTGGACGGGTGGATGAGAGGTGGGAAGATGGATGGGGGACAAGGGGGATACATGACGTGTAGATGGTGGACGGGTGGATGAGAGGTGGGAAGATGGATGGGGGATCAGGGGATGGGGATACATGACGTGTATGGATGGTGGACGGGTGGATGGATGAGAGGTGGGGAGATGGATGGGATGGACATGAGGAGGGATACATGACGTGTAGATGGAGGACGGGTGGATGAGAGGTGGGAAGATGGATGGGGGATCAGGAGGGGGATACATGACGTGTAGATGGTGGACAGGTGGGATGAGAGGTGGGAAGATGGATGGGGGATCAGGGGATGGGGGATCAGGAGGGGATACATGACGTGTAGATGGAGGACGGGTGGATGAGAGGTGGGAAGATGGATGGGGGACCAGGGGGATACATGACGTGTATATGGAGGACAGGTGGATGAGAGGTGGGAAGATGGATGGGGACAAGGGGGATACATGACGGGTAGATGGTGGATGGTGGATGAGAGGTGGGAAGATGGATGGGGAATCAGGAATGGGGATACATTGCGTGTATGGATGGAGGGTGGGTGGACGGGTATAATTGTTAACATGTGGGATACGTAGATATTAAACACAATAATTCACACTGTGACATAACATTCAATCAATCTTTATTCGGTACTTACAAGGCCACATGCCTATAGTACATTTCTATACACAATATTTATAACTGAGCAGCACCAGAACATATGTCAAATATTTACAGATTACAAATCTCAAGCAGATTTTTTATATATAAATGCAAAATAGATTTACATTTAAAGTTTCTATAATTCAAAAGTATTTTCATTTGTTATTAGAGGAGTCATTTTTATTTCATTTGGATGGGTATAATAGTAGGATGTTAAATATTTCTTTCTAATGTTTTCATTGGCGGCACAGATAAAACGAAAATGGTATTCGTCTTCTACAGCATTAACGTTACAGAGGTTGCAAATTCTATGATTACGAGGAATATTAACATAACGCCCACATTCAACAAACTCGTGCGATGAGCAGAGACATAACATTGTACTTGTGTAAGACACACATGAACGAACACCTACTTCATGTTTAGACTAAATATACCTATATCTTGTAATCTGTACACTTTACCGGGTCACTGGATGTACAATACATGTATATTGTTATAGAAAAGTGAGAATCATCATGACACGCTCAGTTGCCTGTGGTCGTCACACTCTCTACACCCACAACACCAGACCAGCATATTCAGTCAAGACATCGTGTTATGCTATTCAGAGCGTGACAAAAGCCTTGATACAACAAGATTACACCACACGCAGAGTTAGGCCCCCGGTGAGCAGAGAAACATCGCAATGACACATCGCTTACTACAACCCTAAATCGTTCTGCCCAGCTAGACAACAGAGGTATCACAGACGCATACTTTCTACCCGGTATCCATAGTTACCACACGGGTGTTTGGAATCAAGAGTAGATATCCATACAACAAAGCGAACTGGTGTTGTATGGAATTTGGTTTGAAAGTAAAGAATACCATTTACTTCATGTATGTATCGTTATGGAACGACACGCAGATCGATAGTTAATGATTGATTTGCATCATATGTTCTCACTGATAAACAGACGAAACTAATCGATACCGTTCCCATTAACTGACTACCAGACTGTAATTTCTTTGAGAGGCATTTTAGAAGTTGTGAAGATGAAGGAAAACTGATTTGTATGGATAGTTGCAATGACGGCTTTTAGGATTTTTCCTAGCAAAGACTACAAAATTAGGAAACTCCTAGAAGCCATAAACATCCAACGCCACAACCCCACCATGAATCGAGATCAAGAGTTATTTCATCTCTCAGCCTATCACCACCTTATCAAACACCACCACCAGTAATCCTTCCCTTCCTCCGTTGTCTATCTGGCTTCCATGCTCCCTCCTTTGTGCTTGTAATCACAACTATTGTACGTCAACTCATCAATTGTATAAACTCAACTCTAATCACAATCAATCACTCTGTACATCAACCTCCTATACTGTAATCACTTATCAAATATCCAATGCACATCAACCTTATTAATTGTATATACTCACTATACAGCTATGTATATATTCTCCTTGCTTCAGTTGTTGTATCACTTGCTTCATAACGGTGTTAGTACCTACACCGAAACGTCGCACTCATTGCAATAAAGAAGTTGACTATCCATACAAATCAGTTTTCCTTTACCAAACTGTACACAAGCATGATCCGACATGAACGTAAAGGCGTTCGATATAAAGCACAAATAATTGACTATCTTCAGCTACTGTTATGTTATGTATGTTCTATGTAACTCTCAAACATATTAATATTCACGGTTATCTTTCATAATGGTATTTTTAAAACGCCGTCTCTAACAGATCCTTTCGGCTATAGCTGATCTTGCTCCTTCAGATAAAAAAACTATTAATGCATGCACGAACGTAAATAATAGAACGAAGTGGTTTGTCTGGTTTGACGACAACAGACGGTTCAGTCGACCCCGCTGATAGCGGTGACGGGTGTGTAGTTGACGACACAAGGTACAGTAAGTGTGTCAACGACGACATTCGTGGCAAGGTAACGCTATCATATATCTTAATGTATCTTAATATTTCCATAGTACCGTTGTTTAGTCCTAACTTTGATGCTTGTTTCTCACACCAGTGTTCAACCCAGTCGAGTTCACATACACAAACTCATGATGTAGTCTCTTCATAATTTTGGCAGGACGTGAATACCCGACTTTATATAATCCATAACCATGACTGACAGGAATCCAATTAGATTACAAATCCTTTCAGATCGGACTGTATCAAAATGGTATAGAAACCCAGTGACGCATATCTGAGTTATATAGCCTACCCGACAAATCAGCCGTGTGCAGCTTGGGTAGGCTGGTTAGATGGAGCGGACACAATAGGAACGTGTCGACAACATGGGTGTGTGGCTGTTCAATGTACAATAAGCCCGGAGCATATTTCACAATCACGTGGGGTGTAAGAACAGAGAGTTTCGGGAAGGGTGAGGCAAGAGGAACTCCCTTCAACTGGTCACAGCTTATCAATGTTGGTGCAGCCGACTCAGCCACTATTGATTTTAGTTTGATAGCGTCGGCTGGTTTCTTGCCAGTGAGCCGAGTGGTTTCGTGGTTGATGGCCAACACCACCTGAGGTAGCCGCGCTACCCATTCAGTCGATCGTTTCCCGGGTTGGCCATCTCTTTCGCATACTGATGGCCCGAATAAGCGCTCAGCCAAAGTCCTATTGAATCTCTCAACTATGGCTTTGCTGCGATGAATCTCCGGCCGTGCCACGCCTGACCTTGGTATCGTGTTTGTCTAGCAGGTGTGACACGACACCCATGAACTCCCGCCCGGGGTCAACTTGCAGCTCTGTGGGCCACGACAACGGACTGTGCTTGTATATGCGTTCGAATCCGCGGGCTACCTGGGCCGAGTCTTTCACGGTTAAGGGTTCGGCTTCCTTGTAGCGACTGGCCACGTCCATACGGTTAGGGGCATGCTTGTACCTCTTGTCGTAGGGTAGGAATAGGAGGTGGGCCTGGTAGACGCTATTTGGTATGTAAATGGTTGTACGGCTTCTAGGAGTTTCCTAAAAGACTACAAAATTAGGAACTTCCTAGAAGCCATAAACATCCAACGCCACAGCCCACCATGAATCGAGATCAAGGTTATTTCATCTCGTCAGCCTATCACCACCTAATCAAACACCTTCACTAAGTAATCCTTCCCTACCTCCGTTGTCCATCTGGCTTCCATGCTCCCTCCTTTGTGCTTGTAATCACAACTATTGTACGTCAACTCATCAATTGTATAAACTCAACTCTAATCACAATCAATCACTCTGTACATCAACCTCCTCTGCTGTAATGCACATCAACCTTATCAAATATCACAATACAGCACATCGACCTTGTTCAGGTGTTGTATATACTTAGGTACCATACCGAAAAAACGTCGCACTCATTGCAATAAAGAAGTTGACTATCCATACAAATCAGTTCTCCTTTACCAAACTGTACACAAGCATGATCCGACATGAACGTAAAGGCGTTCGATATAAAACACAAATAATTGACTATCTTCAGCTACTGTTATGTTATGTATGTTCTATGTAACTCTCAAACATATTTACATTTCACGGTTATCTTTCATAATGGTATTTTAAAACGCCGTCTCTAACAGATCCTTTCGGCTATAGCTGATCTTGCTCCTTCAGATAAAAACTATTAATGCATGCACGAACGTAAATAATAGAACGAAGTGGTTTGTCTGGTTTGACGACAACAGACGGTTCAGTCGACCCCGCTGATAGCGGTGACGGGTGTGTAGTTGACGACACAAGGTACAGTAAGTGTGTCAACGACGACATTCGTGGCAAGGTAACGCTACCATATATCTTAATGTATCTTAATATTTCCATAGTACCGTTGTTTAGTCCTAACTTTGATGCTTGTTTCTCATACCAGTGTTCAACCCAGTCGAGTTTACATACACAAACTCATGATGTAGTCTCTTCATAATTTTGGCAGGACGTGAATACCCGACTTTATATAATCCATAGCCATGACTGACAGGAATATCAATTAGATTACAAATCCTGGATGAGGGCAAGAGGAACTCCTTCAACTGGTCACAGCTTATCTATGTTGGGTGTGATCCCCTACATTCTAAACTCTAAAACAACATTTCCAGATCTAGTTTCGAAGGTAACGCAGGTGTTTTCTTGTTAGAACTAAACTTGTTCGTATTCTGTATTTCCATTTGTATTATCATGAAACGGAAATGTTGGTTCTCCTAGCTGATCAAGATACATGATACCCAAGTAGTAGATATAATGACAGTCCGAGATCAAGTCCAACAAAGCCTTCTGTAAAGCTTTATTTCACAAATAAAGCTTTTGTCAGACCCTCGTAGATCCCACCCGCCTTTGTCTACTACTTTTTACCCCCAGTTAACTTCCGACCCCCACGTGCCACTTCCTGATCACGGGATAGCTCTATGCTGTGTTGACAGGATGGATTCCCTCTCTAACGAACCCTCTCCCCTGGCTCATCTCTCAAGTGACGGTACAAGTTCGGCTCGTCGGCTTCAATCCACTTTATCTATGTTGTAAGTTTTAACTGACCAAATCGGATCGGTGGCTCTCCGAGTGGCCTTTCATCTCGGGTGGTATAGGTACCTCACGAGGACCCTATCTGGTATCTGTCTCTTTTGATGTCCACTCAGCCGCTATTGATTTATGTTGATAAGCGTCGGCTGGTTTTGACTGAGCCAGTGGTTTATCGTTGATGGCCAACACCACCTGAGGTTGCCGCGCTACCCATTCAGTCGATCGAGGTTGGCCATCCCTTGCATGTGATCCCGAATAAGCGCTCAGCCAAAGTCCTATTGTCTGGTAGAGGCTTTGATGCGATGGGCTCCAGCCATGCCACACGCCTGACCTTGGTATCATGTTTGTCTAGCAGGTGTGATATGACACCCATGAACTCCGCCCGGGTCAACCTGCAGCCTGTGGGACACGTCACGGACAAGCTTGTATCGGCGTTCTCCGTTTAGCTACTGGGCCGAGTCGTCACGGTCAAGGGTTCGGCTTCCTTGGCGACTGGGCCACGTCCACGGAGGTCGACCTGGTGAATGCTATTTGGTATGTTAATACCGAACTTCCTTCTAGGCACGTAGCGTGGTGCGGGTAAATAGATCTGCCACAGGGCTTGTTTTCAAGCCACGCTTTGGCCTTGTTTGGGGGACTCGTGCCATTTTAGCCAGCTTATGTACGGCGCTAGCTCCTTTCCAGTACCCACGTAGGCTGTAGTAAATAGCCTCAAACTTTCTCTGGTTCCTTGACATATTGCCCCGATATATACACCTATGTTCTTGGTTCAATTTTCTCATGCCCGTACGCGTATATGTTGATCCCATCAATAGCTATCCAACGCTTAGTGTCCATCTTGTATACTATTATTATTATTTTCCCCTCCTTAAATTGGCAAGGTTCGCTCGTGATGATCGCCGCCGTCACCGGGGCTAAAACATACCATATTTGTGGTATAGCAGCAGCATCTGACGCTCCACGGCGTGTTTGATAAATGGGTCCTTCTCGAGGTCCTCCCACAGGTAAAGCCGGCGTTGCGGGGAATGGGGAGGACATACGATGCCAAACCGGTGTAGATCTGCGTCATTGTTGAACCTATAGTCTTCGTCATCTCGGCCCCGAGCTGGGACCAGTATCTCGCGTACAGCTTATCGACCTCATCGGCTGACAGTTTCTGGATTTTATCAGGGTTATAGTCCCCAAAGTATTGTTTGGCCTTTGCCACAGACCGCCAACGATACTAGTTTCTCTTGCTTGTCATCATCAGGCCGCTTATCACCCTCCAACAGTTGCTCGAGTAGTTCATCACACTCCATCTTATAATATATCAAGTGATTTTGAACTCTCATGATATAATAACCGATACAGGCGAAACACAGGGAGATGAAGATTCAGTTGCACACGATGAGCACTTCACAAACCATTGCTAAGCTAAAACACCCTATAGGCCACGGGTTGGTCGGTCTTGAGCACGAGCTTAGTATGTTTAGTTACAGCGAGCTGTTTCTTCGCACATTCCTTATCATGTTTCCTCATCACATCGTTCTCTCTCAAAACTCCTCGAACGAATCCCTGTCCTTGCAGTGGAATAAAGCCAACCATCGCGTCTGCTCCCTGAGGTCTTTCAACACCGAGTTGAACTTCTGGCGTTAGTACCCAGATGCTGTGCTTTTGCGTGTCGGCCGGAGAAGGCCAGGTACGCGATAGCATGTCTCTCTTTGTTATCTCGCGATTAGCACTGCAGTCGTCCAGGATGAACAGCATCGACTCCCCCTTGAATTTCATGTGGTAAGCTTTCAACAAGCCCTGCAGATGTGTCCCTGGGTCGACTCTGTGTACGTCCGGGTCCATCAACAAACAAGGTCTTTCCTCATGTACGCGCTATTCATGTGCAGAGTAGGGCACATGATACCGTGATGTTATCGAACACATCCAGGTAGTACCCTCCAACATATCCAGCATGAAAACGGTCTTCCCATTGTGCCGTCTGCCCGCACACTATGGTGCAGTGTGGGTTGAGGGGCAAATCAATGCAGTCAGCAGGCAGTGGCCTGCCGCCAGGCAAATCAGTTGATGGCTTGCACAAATCTCCCATTCTCTATATTAAGTTGCGCGTCCATAATCACGTACAGATATAATTTCAACTTGCCCGCGGGTTGAGCCTTCTTGGTGATCTGGATTGTTATCCCTCGCTGCCGTTGTCGATGCGGCGGCCACTACCATGCAATTTATCAATATCCGTGGATCGCATGTCCAACCACAGCGAACTGTGTGGTCAGGTATTCACCAATCTGCACGGAAGATAGGTCCATGGCTTTGGTTATGTGTGGGTGTTGTTTGATAGCCGGTAGCTTTTTATCTCATCCCACTGCTGGTATGGCCTCATACCATGACTGAACAGCTGGTTGGGCACGCCCTCGATGGTAACTTCCACCTTTTCAATCTTGGGGTTGAAAAACTTCTTGGCTCGTAATCCTCCACGGGGTCGACCATGATGCCCTTCATCGATCACGCCGGCACTTTCAGGTTGATGTTCCAGACAGTGTCGCTCTTATCCCACACGACCGATCTATGCCTCAGTATGCGGTCGTACAGGATGGCCACCTTCCCCGAGTACTGGCTTCGAACCTGCCTGGCCAGCTCCGGGCTAGTGACCATGTCGAACTCCAGAGAGATGTTGTCGATGGCATTACTGTCCTGTCACCGTTCAGGGTTTGCACGACTTTGCTGTAGTCGTTAAACGTGAGCTCGTATTCGCCTATCGCCAAGTGCGGCCTGGTAAAACGGTGCACGTGTCCTGTGAGCAGCTCGAAGTCGAGCGGCACGCAGAACCTGTTCCCGTAATGCTTGGTCGATGGCCTTTTGCCCGTCTGAGATCTTGTCTAGCTGGTCTGCCATGAAGCCGTGTCCCACACGCAACCCGGGTCGATTTGTTGATGCCTTGGTACACGTCATTGACGCTGCGTTCTCCCGTAGCAGTGAAATAAGTCGCTGTCGTCAATGCTCTTTGATGATGGCTCGACGTACATTCCTCACTAGCTCGCATTTGTTGTTGCCGGAGGTCAACGTGAGGTTGAACACCAGTCGAACAGTGCCTGGTACAATAAGGTCATTCTCGCCCAGCTTTGGGAATCTAACCAGCAGCGTTTGGTTCTGGTCCTTCTTGCTGGGATTGTTGGTCATGGTCACTGATCTCTCTTGATCTTCTTAAAGGATCTAGTTTCCTGCCATACATTATTATATACATAAAATATAAAAGTTTAATATAAATAATGGCTGAAGGCGGCCATGAGGACCTCCCTATGGATGATATGTGGGATGATAGTGCCCAGGCGTTCGACGAGCAGGAGGCCTCGTACCCCTTGATCATTGAACTCATCAAGCAAATCGTCAATGGGTTTTACGATAGCTTAAAAGGTGATAAAATAACGTGGAGCCGTGGGGACGAGACTATTCCAAAGCTTTTTGTCGATGGCAAGGGCACGCTGCAACTGAGGGATCACCCGGAGATCAATCTCGTGAATAAGCGTACGAGAGAACCACTTGCCTTATCGACACTCGGCAGTCGCCATGGGGTAGACTTTATCTGCGATGAACTAGGCTTCATAGATTATGGTGGCGCACGGCCTAAGCTTCCCGGGAGGCCGTTCAAGATCTGCAAGACGTCAGGGTGCCACATCGGATCAAGACATGGCTGATAGCATTGAAAAGCTGTTGGCCACCTACCATAACAAACCCTTACCTAGGGTTCGAATTTACCGTTCGGGAACTGTGGGGGCTCGACAAGGCCATGCAAACCATTTGCGGACATTCAGAACAACACGGCCAAACTGGACGCGATAGACGACCACATTGCCCGTGAAAAGGTCAAACCTGGTGAAACAGAGGAGGAGTCTCTGAAAGCCACCATCGAGGAACGAATACGTAATTTGGAAGAGGAAATGAAGACCCGGCTGGAAGCGGCATCCTCCTTCCGAGACCAGCTTCGATCCCAGATCAACCGTGTGCAGGAAACCGTTGATCGAGTCCTCTACCAGGACACCACGCTAGCTGACAGGCTCCGAATCCTGTTTCGGGAGCAAGGCATCACCATCGCCAGCATTCTGACTGCATTGGGCTTCATCCATATCAACCCTGGTGGTGTCATTGACGCCAGTGGTACACCAACACCCACAACCCCAAGTGGTGGCATCATAGACTGGATAAAAAAACACCCGAAATCCCTCGAAGGGAGTACCTGGCTAAACTGGCTGGTAATGCCGCGAAGCCCTACCAGGCATCATGGGTAGCATCGTCTTATGGGTGCTGAGCGCTCTGGCTAAAACTGCCACGTGGCTCGGCTGTGGGCAGCCATTGCTGCCATGGCGAGTCTGGTGTAGCCGTAAAGCGGCTAAGGAATTTTTAACCAAATGAGTCCCACCCCGACCGCGATCCCCGACCACCAGCGCTGTTTTTTAGATCGATGTGCTGCTGATTGGACGCTTGCACGTGTGGGGTTGGGGCTGCGGGATGTCTGTTGAACCCTTGACTCCGGGGATGGAACGACTATACCCGTTTCACTGGCCGTGGAGGTGGTACGTGTGGGACGTTGACATCAGGGTGGACGCCCAACTTTTGGGCTGCCGTAGCTACGACTATTTCGTTGTTGTAGCCAACCACTTTGTTGATTCTCGGTTGCATGTCGCTTGGAGCCATGTACAGCCCAACGTCGAACACGTAGTAGACTTTCGACCGGATATATTCCAACACATCTTGGTATCGTCGTATGGCACCCGGCAGATCAACTGGAGCATTGATAGCATCCTCAACGTTAACAACAAACTGTTTCTGTGCGTCTAAGGCAGTACCCGTACCGATAATACTGGAACGCGTTTGCGTCTGCGCACCCAACAGCGCCCACACGTACGTTCGAATCGAGTCGTTCAAGCGTTCGGTGCAGGCATAAGTGAACCCTCTCGACGTGTCCAAAATGAATTTTTCCAGTCATCCGCTGTGCCCCTGCTCGAACCTCCAGACTCGGTAATCCTTGTTGTTGTTGTGAGGTGATGATACAACTTGTACCCCCATTCTTTCAACTTCTCGCTGGCATCCACGATAGGCATGTTGTGAGCGATGGGGATACCAACCCGTGGTTCGGCCCCGGCAAACGCCAATCCGTCTTCGGGTCTAGCTTAAATTCGTCGCAAATACGTTCGTAGGCCCGTCTATTGTACTGGTTGGTTACTGCGTCCCATGCTTTGTCCTGTGGGAGTGGAGCGCTGATCTCTTTGATGATACGTCTGACCTGGTAGTACACATGGAACGTGAACACAGACTCACTCAGCGGGCCCCTCAGTGTCGGTCAACATCAAGCCACACCCAGTCGTTGCACACAACACGGCGAAGTTGAGTTGATTCTGCCAGAACTGCATAGGGTTGTTGAACCAGGTGTGGACTGCCTGGGCGTTGGTCGCCGAAAGCTTATACCGGTCGAACACATCTATGAACTGGGCATTGAAATACAGCCCTTCAGCGACCACGATCTTGTTGTGGGAAATCTAGGTCCAGTTTAGGGTAAAACACTCTTGGGAGGTAAACACTCCCTTTGTCCATTTTAAAGTATTATATAATGAGTATATATACTCTAACATGTACGTAACACTTTCAGGAATAACGAGCGCGAGGCCGCTCAGCTGATGCATGTGATCAATAACCCGGCCGGGCCAACTCGAAGTCGCACCTACCTACCGCGATGGACTAACATCTACGCCAACAACAACAAGCTGTTCGTCAGTGGCGCCCGCAACCAGATAATCGACGGCTACTACAGTGTGTGTTCGCTAAGCGACAAGACCTTCAAACCATTGGGAGCCGAACTCAAGATGAATGAATCAAATGGCACAGTGGTGTTAATCAACAACGGAAGAAACCCTTGAGGGCTCATCCAACCAATGGCGAGGACACTCGGTATGTCACCGGACGAGATAAAACCAACAACTATCGTCACAGGCACGAAGTTACCCGACCTAGTACCGTACCGAGAGCTGTGCATTCATCCGGCCAGGTGAGCACAACCGACAACATTCAAGGTGGTCACCCTTCCACGATACTGAGAGTCGTACCCGTGAAAATGGAGAAATATAAGGGCGGCAGAACCGAGTCAATTTCACCGCTGCAGTATAAAGAGAGGTTAACTTGAGGCGACATCCCTGAGCTGATAATATCGGTGTTAGATATAAATCATAACCCTGTGGAATATAGGATACCTCAACATAATGCTGCACATAAAATGACCAGCGCACAAAGCCCTGGGATGAGAAAAATGCATCAATGTGGGGATCTCCGAACTCGGGACACACGCGGTTTCGATGACCTGGCGTAGATGTTAAATTGTACGCCTTGCAACTGAAAACAACATTTACAAACGCGTTGAAGTCCCTCCGTTGGAACACCAGGTGATATAGTAGATACCTCAAGAGCAGTCCTCAACACTCGGTACGCGCACTAGTCAGCACCGGTGATGATAAATCGGATGGTATACCCACCGTTCAGAGGCAAACTGTTTGACATAGAAGTTGTTGAGAGCACTACCGTCGCGCCGAAACAAGCCATATATACGCCTCGTCTTCACCGATGATGACAAGTGGGTGTTTTACCCGCTAAAGTCGACTGGTTTTCTCAATATTAGGTTCGGCTCCCCTACGTGTTCACGGAGAACAAAGACAACTACCTAAAACAAAGTCGTGAACAACGGAACCCCTGCTCGTGGCTTACGTCCTGGCTCATAGACGTAGCGTAGTCATCAGCCCAGCCGCCAGTATGGCAGCCCACATACTATCGAGTAAACCGGAGTGCAAAACGTGACATTGCAGTTGGTGTCTGAATTCGAAGGTGTGGTCAACATCCTGAGAGACTGCCGCCGAACTCCACTCTGGTCATCAAAGTCTACATAGGTGAACCATCGCAGGATGAAGTCAAAAATCGTGAAGGGGTCAAACTCCGGGTGGGTGAAATGGCACCAGTATCAGGTTTGCACTGTTTACTTACGTGTGCCTGCCGACTCCTACACCAGTCTGCAGGGGGCCCCGTTACTGTGGAAGACACGATATCACTCACTAAGATCTTCCTACCCAACAACATACACTTCATGGGGTTGAAGGGCGCCCCTGTGAAATTATCAGAAAAACAATTGGAAACTTTCTCTCATAATAGTAATATATCAATGTCCAGTCATCGCCCCAACGCTACGCTTAACGACCTAGGGGACACGGAGAGATTCGACCAGCCAGGAGTTTTGTTCCAGAGTCTGATGTAAGTGTCCAGCTAACCCCGGATCTGAACAAGCAACATGTTAGTTTCAACCAAAAACGATTAACTAGCAGTTTTACACCCTCAATTACCGGGTGAATCCTATAATTATTATATCGCCCTACACACTCATCATAGAAGTCCATCGGGGAACTGCTCCTAGTTCAGCACTACAACTTTTTATCCGGTTACAATACAAATGGGATGGCCATGGGCCAATGCTGCTGTATCGTCATACAAACTGAAACTCCCCTTAATAGGTTATATAGTCCCTTCGTCAGCCCCTGATGTTCGTGTGGATAGTAGAGGGGCTGTTGATCCTTCTAACCCATTACCTGTCTGAGAGTCTGCACCTTTATAAGTTCCCTGAACACTGTGGAAACGGGTAAAGCCGCTTGAAAACACCAGATGGCCCAGCAGCCTATGTTAGAGTACGCTCTAGCCGCTTGTGTTCCAAGACGGGTTCATACATGCCCAACAAATGTTCGCGACACACGGGCAGCATTACCCATAAGAAGGCTTCAATGTCTTAATGTGGATGGGGCTGATACCGCCCTAAGTGGCCATACAAGTACAGGTTAGGGGCAGTTGGTGCCAGTTGTTGGTCACTATCATACAAAATCTACAAAGCCAGCTTCACCAAATAACAGCTGGGGTGTAGGGTTGGCTGGATTGGTGGCTTAAGCTCTAGGCACACAGACTGCACTGGAAGGCATTGAAACACGTCGAGAGTCAAGATTCCCATTGTATGGCAAAGTTGAACACGGTAAGTGAGCGTATTTCTACAGCACTCACTGACAGGAAGATCTCTAGAGGAGTGAATTCTCGCCCAAACTCCTCTCTTGAACTCGACAAATACCGTGTAAGATGCAACAAGAAATCCGGCTCAAGTCTCGTAAGTCCTGCTATTGGCTTAAGACAAGATAAAGTACAGTGAACAAGGGGCAAAAAACATTGTAAACTGTTCTAGCACGGCATAGAGCCATGATCACATGATCATGAAGAGACACGCGTGGCTGGAAGTTAACTGGGGGTTCTAAAAGTAGTATATACGATGGGGCGAGGATCTAGGGACTGACGCAAAAAGCTTTGATTTGTGAAATAAAGCTTTACAGAGAGGCTTTGTTGACTCTGATCCTCGGACTGTCATTATATCTACTACTACCTGCAGGTATATTTGTATTAAAATCAAGTTTTGACTGTTTTTATTGATGATTCTTGCCTGTTTGTCCAGATGATGTCGCCTGTGAGATTTCTGTTTATACCTGGGATACTTATATTTCTCAACATAAGATACTCACATCAGCAAGGTAAGATGATTCATCAGCATTGATATTTAATATACATACACATATCCTTACACACATGTGTCCGTTCTTTAGGGTATCATTTATAGCACGGGCATGTGTCCGTTCTTGTAGATATCATGAATAGCACAGTTAGTGCACGTTTTTTAATGATATCATTTTTAGCACAGGCATGTTCATATGCATTTTACACATCAATCATATGGCTGAAAGATATGTACTTACATACCTTCATATGCATTTTTACACATCAATCATATGGCTGAAAGATATACTTACATACCATCATATGCATTTTACACATCAATCATATGGCTGAAAGATGATACATACATACATACCATCATATGCATTTTACACATCAATCATATGGCTGAAAGATATACATACATACCATCATATGCATTTTACACATCAATCATATGGCTGAAAGATATACTTACATACCATCATATGCATTTTACACATCAATCATATGGCTGAAAGATATACATACATACCATCATATGCATTTTACACATCAATCATATGGCTGAAAGATATACTTACATACCATCATATGCATTTTACACATCAATCATATGGCTGAAAGATATACATACATACCATCATATGCATTTTACACATCAATCATATGGCTGAAAGATATACATACATACCATCATATGCATTTTACACATCAATCATATGGCTGAAAGATATACATACATACCATCATATGCATTTTACACATCAATCATATGGCTGAAAGATATACATACATACCATCATATGCATTTTACACATCAATCATATGGCTGAAAGATATACTTACATACCTTCATATGCATTTTCTTGCACATCAATTCATATGGCTGAAAGATATACATACATACCATCATATGCATTTTACACATCAATCATATGGCTGAAAGATATACATACATACCATCATATGCATTTTACACATCAATCATATGGCTGAAAGATATACATACACATACCAATCATATGCATTTACACATCAATCATATGGCTGAAAGATATACATACATACCATCATATGCATTCTTACACATCAATTATATGGCTGAAAGATATACATACATACCATCATATGCCATTTTACACATCAATCATATGGCTGAAAGATATACTTACATACCTTCATATGCATTTTACACATCAATCATATGGCTGAAAGATATATACATACCATCATATGCATTTTACACATCAATCATATGGCTGAAAGATATACTTACATACCTTCATATGCATTTTACACATCAATCATATGGCTGAAAGATATACATACATACCATCATATGCATTTTACACATCAATCATATGGCTGAAAGATGTACATACATACCTTCATATCCATTTTACACATCAATCATATGGCTGAAAGATATACATACATACCATCATATGCATTTTACACATCAATCATATGGCTGAAAGATATACTTACATACCATCATATGCATTTTACACATCAATCATATGGCTGAAAGATATACATACATACCATCATATGCATTTTACACATCAATCAATCATATGGCTGAAAGATATACATACATACCATCATATGCATTTTACACATCAATCATATGGCTGAAAGATATACATACATACCATCATATGCATTTTACACATCAATCATATGGCTGAAAGATATACATACATACCATCATATGCATTTTACACATCAATCATATGGCTGAAAGATATACATACATACCATCATATGCATTTTACACATCAATCATATGGCTGAAAGATATACATACATACCATCATATGCATTTTACACATCAATCATATGGCTGAAAGATACTTACATACCTTCATATGCATTTTACACACATCAATCATATGGCTGAAAGATATACATACATACCATCATATGCATTTTACACATCAATCATATGGCTGAAAGATATACATGAAACTATATGGCTGGAAATGATATACATACATGCACCATCATATGAAAGATTTTACACATCAATTATATGGCTGAAGATATACATACATACCATTCATATGCATTTTACACATCAATCATATGGCTGAAAGATATACATACATACATCATATGCATTTTACACATCAATCATATGGCATACATTCATACACATCAATCATATGGCTGAAAAGATACATGCACATACCATCACATATACAGACTGCCAATTCTACCTAATGGACGACTCTTGGCTGTACCACATGGGCTACCATATATAAAACATATGCTGTTTAGACTTTTGATCTCGACTCATGTGTGGTTAACGGGAAATGTGAAGATATGTATTTACCCTTTATACAAAGATTATTTGACGAAGTTCAACAATCATGGTGGAGTTCTGTTTATCTGATTCCTTCTATTCTAAGCATTTTTAATCACTGTACAGACGTATCTTACACTCCCAACCCCTATACATCAGAGAGACTATGCATGTCCTCGTTTCAGATGTAGTAGGTATAAATTTGCAGTATATTTTGGGAGATACACAATGTCCCATACACTGAACAATGTGCCATACATATATACATATTGTATAGAAAGGGGAAGGTCTTTGCTGAAGATGAATGTCATATATTGCATGTATGTGGAACGTTACCTCAACCCTAAGAAATATAAACAATATATCAAGTGCCACACAGTAACATCTTTTATCGAAATTTTCATCTGAAAACTTTGATACTGTGTAAAACGCATGTCTATATGTATATTAAATCAAACGTAGGGAAACGTAATCAATTACTTCATTGGCATGTGTGTTTCATGCAACCTACAGTGTCTGTAGTATAGAATTTCATGGTTTCTTCATATACTGAATAAACTGTCTGTCTGAATGTCTGCTCTCAATACATTTAAACTGACCCGCCAATGTTTTGTACAGCAAATCTTTCTTACAAACCTTGCTCTTTATTCACAAGCATAGAAACAATCTCTGTACTTCTACACTGGTGTCGTATTTCCAAATTGCGACTAATTTATCTGCTCCATCGATCACTTGATTGTCTGGTTTGTTTACAAAGCGCCGTCGCATGGTAGGAGTATTGCTATGAGAGGCCAGGCAAACATACTGTCATGTTTAGGCACACATTGTGCGCTATAGCCGTGCTACCATTTTCGCGAACTTCAGTGGATCAGTGATCCATTCAAACTTTCCCCAGCAATGTTCCCTTTACACCAAACGGAATTTGTTTCTCAGGATGGTTTAGACTGAGCATGTTCTCGTGCACTGACGTTCTTTACTATATTCACACCTAGCCATACACCCTTTGTTTTCACTGTGAAACTGGTGGAACTGTTCAAGCCTGAGATTTTTAGAGGCATTTAGAAGGTGGTGACTATATACGACGAGTATATGGATGGCAACTTCTTCTTTATTGTATAACACGACGTTTCTGGGCCACCTCTCTTGCCCCTCTTTTAAGGTGATTTGTTCAAGCCTGTTAAATATCTCGCTTTACTGTTAGTGCTTCGTGGCTGATCAATGTGGGCACGGTAAATGTACACCTTCTTGTTCCGCGCACACATCATTGGTAATTGCAAGACGTCAGAGTATACATAGTTAGTGTTGAACAGTGGTGACACCCGGTGTTAGCGGAAAGGTCAGTGTGTCCTGCTCGTCTTGTAGGAACCACCACTCACACAACTGACATTACATTTTCATTCTTCCCCTCACTGCACACCAGTGTTAACTTGACCCCATAAATGTGTATGGTAATGCAGGGCAAGCATGGCGGTGGGCTATTTACTCCATGTATGCTGCTGGAATGTAACGACATAATATCCCACAGAGCCCAAGGCGCTGCTTTGTGAGACCCACGGTGGTTTGTATGTCCCTCTGTTCTTATACAGCCAGATACAGCCAGACAACTTACACTGTGTGTGGTCCTTGAAGCGGGATCCACAATACCTTGACAGATGTGCCACCAGAGTCTTGTGTTATTGGGGTACTCTTGGTTCTCAATGTTTGTTGTAAGAGCTGTGTCATGGGTATCCAGAACAGAGACAACACGCATCCTTGAGGTAACCCTTGAATATTGACTCAACATACGGCCCGCTTACGTGACCAACAAGTCTCTGGTGGAACAAAAGGCTTTTCTGTAGGTCTTGAGTTGTGTATTGGCGGGCTCGAGGAACTTCCTGCTTGACTGGTAGAGAGTTGTGTATAGGCGGGTTCGAGGAACTTCCTGCTTGACTGGTAGATAGTTGGTGTATTGAGCGGCCTGAGGAACTTCCTGCTTGACTGGTAGAGAGTTGTGTATTGGCGGGCCTCGAGGAACCATGGCACACAGATACACCTCACAATCTACACAGTGAACATCACACAATACATGTATACATCTACGTTTTTGGCTGACGTAGTCCCTGTAATACGATGTGACAGACCGTGACATAACTGAAGTAGTGCCATCACTCACCACTCTCACCTCACTCTCACTCTCACTCTCACTCTCACTCTCACTCTTACTCTCACTCTCACCTCCCACTCTCTCACTCACTACACACTCACCTCACCTTCACTCACTCTCACTCACACACACTCTCACCTCACTCACTCACTCCCACTCCGCTCACTCACTCACTGTCACTCTCACTGTCACTCACACTGACTCTCACTCTCACACCACACACTCACTCACCTCACTCACTCCTCACCTCACCACTCACTCTCACTCTCACTCTCACTCTCACCACTTCTCACTCTCACTCTCACTCTCACTCTCACTTCACTCTCACTCCTCACTCACTCACCTCACCTCACCTCACTCACTCTCACTCTCACTCACCTCACTCTCACTCACTCTCACTCACTCTCACACCTCACTCCTTCACTCACTCACTCTCACCCTCACCTCACCTCACCACTCACTCTCACCTCACTCACTCACCTCACTCACTCTCACTCACTCACTCACACTCACCTCACACTCACTCCTCTCTCACTCTCACTCACTCACTCACCTCACACTCACTCACTCTCACACTCACCTCACTTCTCACCTCCACTCTCACTCCTCACTCCTCACCTCACTCACCTCACTCACTCACTCCTCACCTCACCTCACGCTCACCTCACTCACCACGCTCACGCTCTCACCACCTCACCTCACCCCTCACCTCACCTCACTCACTCTCACCACTCACCTCACTCCTCACTCTCACTCCTCACCACTCACTCACCACCACCTCACCTCACTCACGCTCACTCTCACTCACCTCACTCTCACTCACCACCACTCTCCACTCTCACCTCCTCCTCACCTCACCGTCACTCCCCACTCACCACCACCACTCACCTCACTCACCCCACCTCACTCACCACCTCACTCTCACTCTCACTCACACCATCTCACCTCATTCTCCTCACTCACTCACTCTCACCACTCTCTCACTCATTCTCTCACTCTCTCACTCATTCTCACTCTCTCACTCTCACCTCACTCTCACGCTTTCACTCATCCACCAATCCTCCCATCCACTCACTCATCCACCAATCTTCCCCACTCACTCACTCACTCACCCGCTCACCACGAGATATGTTGAACACACTGAGGTGTCTATCAGTAAATAATAATATCGCCAAAATTCGAAATCTTTCCACAGCAAGACAGCACTATTTTGACTATATGTTGGAATCACGGCCAAATAGTGATGATACCTTTATCTTTACGGGAAACACCTTTATCTATTCATATCATGCCGTATAACATGTGTAGGTCATTAGTCGGTTTATGATGCAGATGTTATTATCCCTGCTCGCTGACTGAAAGGTTAACGACTCCTCATGAAGCAAACAGTTGTGTAGCTGTTTTCTCTTTGTCTTACGCCCAATGGAATCTGTGTTGTCAGATAATCGATGTTGTTTTGTATTCAGATGTGATGCCATTCCTAATGACAAAATGTGTCTCAGTTTTCAGGTCACCTTGAAAATACCACGATTGCTCCCGGAGGGTTTGGAACTTTGGACGTTCAAGTCGTTGATGGGATCACAGGCAGCGGAGCGTGGTCCAAGGATGGCAACCCACTCTCAACTATACCAGGCAAGCTGATGATGACAGAAACAGGCCAATATCGCCAGCTGATCCTTTTTAACGCTGGGGCATCGGACGTTGGAAGTTATACTTTCACTATCAATGGGCAGTCCACATCAGCCTATCTCACCGTGCGAGGTAGGTCCTATAGTTCACTTATGCTATAACTGATTTTTTCCGCCATGAAAAGCGTAACGCTACAGCAGTCGTATGTGCACGTTTAAATATGGAAGTTACGATCTCCTCAGTGCTACGACTTAGGGCAGTTACGATCTCCTTAGCGTTAAAACAGTCGTAACTCTATGTCAAAATATAGGAGCTACGTTCTCTTTAGCGATACGATCTCTTTGTGGAACGGGGCGCTGTTTTCAGGATAATGCGACTTAAATAGATATTATCAATTTTTCCTTATCCTGACTCATGCTTATTGCTTGTCTCCCTTTCCTTCCGAATGCTAGTGGAACACTTGAATCCCCTTTGAAGCCCTTCAAAAGCGGACGTAAAATCACTTACCAGGAGTCACCTCCCTCGCCAGGTTTTGGCAGGAACGGCGCCACCCGTCTGCCATGCTCTTCACTTTCTCCTGATTCGCCCGAGTGGGCGGTTGTGAGAGCACCTGGTACCCTATACGGCTTTATATCCTTTTTAGGCTTTTCTTCTAAATTAGCTGTATAAGGCTTTAGCTAACATTTACCTACAATATTGTAACGGAATTAATTCTCAAATTTCTCCTGTTTTTGTCACGTTTTTACGTGATTATTCACACTGTTTACAATTGATGAAATCTTGTTCTGATTGTAGGTATCGTTTGTCTGCTGTTGATCCGCATAACCTATGTCCTAATTTGCAAGCCTATATGTTTATCTGACACTCATTGTCAGTTGTGTTTTCACCTGTCTGATATTGCATTTTACAAATATTCATATTATCTGTCTAGACGTGCAAAGGACAGGGTCCAGACGAGAGTTACACGACATGTCTAAACCGGCTAAGCTTGCAGAGGACCGGCAGTTGGTGTCTGCGCAGATACACCATTCCAGTGGTCTACCGGGGTCGTCTACGGAGGAGGTTGCCGCCTTAGACAACGCTGGCTCGAGGAAGAGGTCATCTACATCTGAGACACCCTCTTCGCAGTCTAAGAAGACTAGGGCATCGTCTTCCCAGAGGAAGAAGGCAGCTACAGCTAAGACTTCGGCGAAGTCTCCACACGGGGCAACGCAGAAGACGAGATCTGTTTCAGCTGGAGATCGTCCCTCTGGAAGAAATAGATGTCTACGATTAGCCGCCCATCCTCAATCCCTGTGATCACATCCTAAGAAGAAGACGAAGACGTCTTCTACAGTAACCACGCAGGGACATCCTATCAACGCAGACGTTCGGCACGAAGGTTCTACGCCCTTCGGAAGAAGCCTCATCCATCCTCCAGATGCGTCGTCAGTACAACAGACAACGCAGACCTTCAACCCGGGCGCCTTTTATGCAGCAATTAAACCAACAGATTTTGGATCTGATGGATCAAGAGATCCGTCACAAGGCTCCAAACCCTCGACAAAGCCGTTCACCAGCACGCAGGTTCGCGCGAAGGCACGCATGGTCATCTCTATCTCCACGTAGGTCCCCACGTATGATGTCACGAATGCATTCAGGAACGTATTGTTCACCACTAAGGTCACCACGCAGGTCGCCTTACAGATCGCCACGCAGGCCACCACACAGATCGTCTTACAGATCACCTTACAGATCTCCTCGTTCAGAACCAGTCGACAATAGAAGACATCCATCCTCAGAGCAGGAAGATGACGGCGGAATTATATTTTCCGACTCGGAAATCAAGTCATGGATGGCCAACGGTTTGGAACTCGCATCACCCTCTAAGGAGACCAACGAAGCACTATCATACTTGATGGTGAATGATGATATAGACTCACTCACGATGCCACCTATCGACCCAGTCTTAGACGTTCCAGACAACCTCAGCACAGCCTTCAAGAAGGCAACTAAATACCAGACTCAGAGTATTCCGTCGTTCAACGCTAAGAAGTTCTCTCTACACCACATGGAAACCCTTCTTGAAAGCCCCAGAGATAGATGAGAATTATAAGATCATCAACGACACTCGGACTAAAGCTTACAAGATAGAAGATAAAAAGCTGGCACAGTTAGACACAGTAACCAGACGAACCTTCTTCGGCCTAGCCAGGTCAAGAGCTGTCAACGAGACTCTCATCTCGAAGTTTAAGAATTCAACTTCAGAGGAAGATAGAATGATTTATTCAGCTCTGCTTACACAGAAAAGGATCATCAGTTCATGTCTGAACACCTATCATCCATTTCTGCAGGCTTAACATTATCAAGAGGCAAGGACTGTTATCTTCATGTACTTGGAGCGAGAAGTTTACCAAGACACTCTACAGAGCCCCTTGGTCAACAATTCATCCATTTTGCAGGAGAAATTGATGAAGTCGCCAAGGAAGTCGCTAAAGATTCCCGAGAAGTAATGATGATCAAGTCTATCGATACACTGGCCAGTGTAATACGTCAGACCTCCAACGTTATTCCGGCAAATCGAAGTTTGCAGGCATCCAGAGAGCAAGGGATAAGAAATCAGGCAACGCTAAAGGAAATAAGGATTCTTTTCATCGCCCATCCGCAGCTCCAAGAGGTAACTACGGAAGAGGTCGGCCCTTTCTGAGGCGTCAGAAGTTCCAGATGGTGAAATACGAGGTTCGGAACGACTGGAGTCTTCCACCCCAGCCGTTCCAGTACAACCCTCACACATGGGTGGACGTCTTGTAACTCTACTGGAAAAGAATTGGGGAATTCTTCAAGACGACCTCGTATCTCAGATACAGGATACAGCTACAAGCAGTACCACCAGTAACAATCAACCCTATGGTTCACAACTACGCTGCAGACCAGAAGGGAAATCTACTAGAAGCCATCACATCTCTACTAGAGAAAGGGGCAATAGAAGAGATAAAACACTGCGTCACACCAGGTTTTCAGCAATTTTCTGGTACCAAAGAAAATTCAAAAGAAAAGTTCCGACTCATTCACAACATGAGGGGAAATTCAACAGAAGTTACCTCCTACCACCTGCAAAGTTCAAGATGATACATCTTCCACAGCTACGACAGCTCATACGTCCGCTAGACTATCTCGCCAGCATAGATTTACAGGATGCATACTTACACATCCCGATCCATCAGGAGTCAAGGAAATATCTTCGATTCCTGTTCAACGGACGTCATTTCCAATGGAAGGTCCTGCCATTTGGAATATCGTCGGCCCCCTGGTTGTTTACTCGAGTGACAAAGCCCATCAATATATATCTACATCGTCGAGGTCTACGCAGTGCGTTCTACCTAGACGACGGGATTCAAGCTCAGCAAGATCCCAGTCAACTCAGACTGCAACTGAACTTCACCATCAGACTTCTCACTCATCTAGGATGGCTAGTAAATCTCCTCAAGTTGGAACTACAGCCTACTCAGGACTAGGAATACGGCTTATAACAACGAAGAATCGCATTCTCGTTCCAGAGGATCGTTGGATCAAGATCAAGTTCTACTCTCTCAATTACCACTACGAGAATGGCAGAGCCTATTAGGTCTCCTCACGTCAGCTCAAGACATGACACGCAGAGGGAGACTACAACTGCGTCCACTACAGAGATTTGTGAACGCCCACTTACACAGTCTGGATCCCTTCGAAATACCAGACAGACTAAAACCATATCTACTATGGTGGACTCAGAAGTCGAATGTTTGCGTCGGAAACTACTTAATAGAGCCGGAGTGCAACGTCCACCTCTACACAGACGCATCACTGCATGGTTGGGGAGCACACCTCGACAACGAAGTGGTTGCCGGAAATGGTCGAAACAAGAAATATTCTGCATATCAACATGCTCGAGATGAAAGCAGTAGTAAAATGCCCTACTACATTGCTCCCAGAAGTACTAAGGAACGCAAAATTGATGATCCATACGGACAACTCAACATTGGCGTTCTACATAAACAAACAATGATCAACAAGATCTTGCAATCTTCTAGACTTCAGCTTTCAACTATTCAACCAATAGACAATCTCAACATTTATGTGAAAGCAGCGTCACATTCCGGGGAGCCAGGAATGTAATAGCAGATGCGCTATCTCGACCACATCAACTATCCCCAACAGAATGGATGTTACATCCACAAGCGTTCAGATGCATCATACAGACGATAGGATCTCCACTCGTAGACCTATTCGCCATGAGATTCAACAATCAACTGGCAACATTCGTCTCTCCAATTCCCGATCTGCAAGCATGGGCGACAGATGCTCTAAGCATCCATGGGAAGGGCTAAACGCGTACGCGTTCCTTCCCACCAGCGTTAATACCACAGGTATTACAGAAAATCAGGCAGACAAACAATTCACAACTGATTTTGGTCGCGCCTTACTGGCCAGTTAAGAATGTGGCTTCCCGTTCTTTACAAGAAATCGGAAACCAACAATACAATTTCCAGTTTGGCCGAACATACTAATTCATCCTCACACCAAGCAAGTTCACAAGTATCCCAGATTGTTCCACCTACACGTATGGAACGTGTATAAGGAATATAGAGCTTATAGGCCATGTACGTCTAGAATAGACTAGCATGAATATTGGACCCTGTACTAGTAAGGAAATACTTGTACATGGATAGGGTCTCTACTCCACTTGATACGAACATCAATAGTTGGAGTTATTTAAACTCACATGTACGGTTACAGAAGAGTTTTGATATATTGTGGTCTCCCAAATTACCAAATTATTTCGACATATGGATCAACAGTAGCAATGTCATTTAAAGTTCCCATGGGGCATATAGGACGTAAAATTCATCACTAAGGAATCCAGAGGTGAATTTGACCCATCACCTATACCGTCGGATTCTACAAGCAATAAGCCTGAGTCAGGATAAGGAAAAATATGTAATTTTCTGACCAAAATTGATATTTTTATACTTTATCCTGACCTCCCTTCAAGGCACTCTGGATTTCCCGGTGAAACCAGTGTGTCGAGTTATAATACGGAGAGATGTAGCCAGCATGGCAGACGGGTGGCGCCGTTCACGCCAAAATCTGGCAAGGGAGGTGACTCCTGGTAAGTGATTTTACGTCCGCTTTTTAAGGGAGCTTCAAAAGGATTCCACTAGCATTCGGAAGGAAAGGAGACAAGCAATAAGCATGAGTCAGGATAAGTATAAAATATCAATTTTTAGTCAGAAAATTACATTTTTGTACATGGCAAGGTAAAACCATGTTTCCCTTTTGTTGTTAATGTTCTGATCGCCCAGGCTATAATGCAGTTGGGACTGACAAATCGAAATCACCCATTTCAGTTTAACAGGATTTTTCTTTTTAAATTACCATAATTCTGTACTTGACATGATCAACATAGACCAAAACACTTGAGATACAACGATATTTATCATTTAAATCTGCGAGCTTGACCACCCAATGCCGTTAGTCGCCTCGTTTAACACCCATGGCGTCAGGTATAATCTGAAACACATTCTGTGTACAGATGACTCCCCTAATAGTTTCAGGTCCGGTTGACGGTAACTGGGTGGAGTGGTCACAGTGGAGTGACCCCGGCTGTCCCTGCCACGTGGTCCTACAGCCAGACGCGACGTCACCAGATCCAGGACCTGTACTAACCCAGCTCCCAGCAATGGTGGAAGTACCTGTTCTGGTCATAACAGCCAAAACTGAAAACCCGAGAGTGTGGACCATCTTCCTGTTGTATGTACATATCCGACGTGCAGGGTTACTATACTCATTCCTCATATACTTAGATACATCCACCTCAATAATTCCTCGGCATGACATTTCTCCAATATGGCTGTTTGTATAATCCGTTTCACGTTGTTCAGGACCCATCAGCGTCAATGCCGTTGGTTTTCTGTGATGGTCCAGAGTGATATTGGATTACCATCTGAGAGAGTTTCATTGTCCTTGTAGCTGTTGCAGTTAACGGGAACTGGGGAGTGGTCACAGTGGAGTGGTCCCTCCTGTCCTGCCACGTGTGGTCCTACAGCCAGACGCGCCGTCACCAGATCCAGGACTCCGTGATAGACCAGCTCCCAGCAATGGTGGCGCTTCCTGTCCTGGTCAAAATAGCCAAACTGAGTCTCAAGTTTGTGGACCATCTTCCTGTGGTATGTACGGAATAATCGTATCTCCATATCTTTATCTACATATGCATTATATGGAGATGATATGTCCTGGCGTCTCTACTGTTGATTGTTTATCGATCGAATTCCGCCTGTTATATATATACTAAACGCTGGGTACCAGCCATGTCCCTGATATACATTAGAAGATTGCGTACACTACACATCATACATTTCACTATTGTTTGTTGGAGTTCCTCACATAAGGTATCATTCGTAATTTTTAACTGAAGACATGCATAGCATCCCTCGAAAATGTGCCGGCTTTTTGCTTCGATTTTGCTGTAAATTACACCAAGATTGATTGGTGCCATTCGGAAAGTTTTAAAACAACTACTGATCGTGGAATTATCAACTCATTTAGAAGTAAGAAATGGAAAGACGTTGTAGGCTACCAAATTCAGCTTACAGAAGACATATAGTCGAATAATGTTGATGCCATGTTGCTAATATTGACGACATTGTTGTTACAGTGGCGTCTACCTTTACAAACACACTGTCAGATCAGACGCGATCCGTCGGTGGACAGGTGATATTCCAGGTGAATCTTGCTCAGTCAGGTGTCACAGGTGTCTGGACAAAGGATGGTGCCACGATAACGGCAGATGGAACTCACCAGATCGTTTCAAATGGCAATGCTGCGATTCTCTATATCGCTAATCTTCAAGTGTCCAACTCTGGACGGTATTCTTTCACAGCTAATGGGAGACAACCTCAGCCCAGCTGACAGTTAACGCAAGTACGTGGCTGGTTTTGAATCGTAGTATACGGTTGCTAAGGTCCTAGTGGATATAGACAGACTGTTGATGAGTTGGTACTGTCAGGGCCTAGCTACCATCATAAAAGCGTGGGCTTATACATGATTTTTTGCCAAAAACACTTATTTCTAATTCTTGCCAAAAGTACCTCAAGTACTATCTAAATATAAAGCTTTCGGGCTTACACGATAATATTGGGTTGCTACGCGCCTGGCTGTAATGAAACAGGTGTTCCAACAGACTCCAATTATGGCCATCGCCGCAATAAGCCACACAGAGTTGTGTCCCTTTGTCAGTAGCTGGTTCTTCAATTCGTGTTTTTATTTGCTGTCCTGCACATGGACATGTGGGTCTATGACCTCTCAATCTGAAAACTGTCAGATTTATACAGATGAGGTGTAAAACAAGAGTGTATTCTGGACCCATCACATAAGGAGAACACAATGACACGAAGACATTCTTGAAGCCACACAACGTAAAGGGTCCATACAGGGTCAGTGATTATAGAAAAGTCCCCTAATAGTTGCAGGTGCAGTCAATGGGAACTGGGGAGTGGACACAGTGGAGTGACCCCGGCTGTCCTGCCACGTGTGGTCCTACAGCCAGACGCGACGTCACCAGATCCAGGACCTGTACTAACCCAGCTCCCAGCAATGGTGGATCTACCTGTTCTGGTCAAAATAGCCAAACTGAAACCCGAGAGTGTGGACCATCTTCCTGTGGTATGTACATATCCGACGTTCAGGGTTACTATACTCATTCCTCATATACTTAGATACTTCAACTCAATAATTCCTCGGTATGACATTTCTCCAATATGGCTGTTTGTATAATTCGTTTCACGTTCTTCAATATCCATCAGCGTCCATGCTGTTTATTCTCTGTGATGGTCCAGAGTGATATTGGATTACCAACTGAGAGGGTTTCATTGTCCTTGTAGGTGTTGCAGTCAATGGGAACTGGGGGGAGTGGTCACCATGGAGTGGTCCCCTCCTGTCCTGCCACGTGTGGTCCTACAGCCAGTCGTGACGTCACCAGATCCAGGACCTGTTCTAACCCAGCTCCCAGCAATGGTGGCGCTCCCTGTCCTGGTCAAAATAGCCTAACTGAATCTCAAGTGTGTGGACCATCTTCCTGTGGTATGTACACCGCCATTATTTTGGACGTTGGCTATTTGTCCACATAACGCTTATGCCATGTTACAACTGACATAGAGTAAGCTGCACCATGCATCATTTACGCGCTGACTAACTGATTGACTTCTTCTCGATTTCCCTACTGATCACACTCAAAGTCCCAGTGTGGTGCAGCTACCAGTGGCGTATTCACACACATACCAGGCGTTGAGCTGGCGTACTGTCTTGTACTGTATGTGAGTGAGTGAGTTTAGTTTTTCACCGCTTTTAGCAATATTTCAGCAATATCACGGCGGGGGACACTAGAAATGGGTTTTACACATTGTACCCATGTGGGGAATCGAACCCGGGTCTCCGGCGTGACGAGCGCACGCTTTAACCACTAGGCTACCCCAACGTCCCTTTGTGCTGTATGTACGCAGGGGAGCACAGCGGTTGAGGCTTTTGCTCGTCTGATCAAATATCTTGCTGTCACAAGACCAGAATACAGTTTAACCTTTTTCACTCAAACCTAGATACTCTGTAAATAACCATTCACCAACTGTTCAAGCTTCACTCATGACTCCAGACTACACTAATTTGTGAATACGGTTTCTTTTGACTCCCATGAAACGTCCATTCTTGCAGTAATGTCTCATGTCACGTCAGTATCATTAGGATAGAAGATGCACCCTAGATTAGTTTCACCAGTGACTCTTGTCACCTCCAGTATCATTAGGATAGAACACGCTAACATCATATTTGAGGTGTGCGTAGAGCAGCCTGAAATACCTCCTAGTGTCTGTCGTGTACGCTCTGTGGGACGTATGGCACTCATATCCATTTATCATACTAAATATTTCCTTTACAGTCCTAGTTTCTTTATTAACCTTCTTCGATCAAAGATCATCGATTAGATTAGGCTGATGGTTATTTAAACTTTTAACATATTTAATATAGTATTGAAGTCTTAATTATTGACTGCTTCAAAAAAATACGAATACTATTAACATTTTCTTTCGAATACTATTAACATATAAAGGCACTATTGTCTTCGGCCTGCGTAACATAACTATCCCAGTGGGCCGGCCAGTGGCCTTACAGGTCACCGTGACCCAACCAGGCCTCACGGGGACGTGGCAGCGTGATGGCGTCATCATCACTGGGGGCACAGGATACGACATCTCCTCCCCTGGTTCCACCCAGGTTCTCTTCCTCACCAACCCTCAGGTATCGGACTCCGGACGCTATACGTTCACTGTTCGTGGGGAGGTGACCAATGCATGGTTAACAGGTACACATGTACTTAAAGTATAGAGTTGACGGTTGCTGACCTTGTCTAATAACATGCGTATATATCTTACACACAGATCTAAACAAGTTGATACTGTTACGAGTGGAGCAGCCTTTCAACACTGTTAACATTGCAGATGACATATATGTTGCAATCATATTTTTGTTTATGCATCCTTTTTTTATAAAGATATGAAATGACATGTTATCAAATTCGTATTTTGAGATATGACGAAATTAATGCCTGACTCTTGCCTGAAATGTCTTCGAACGCTTAGATTAATTAGTTTGTCTGGCATGAGAATGTTTATCATACAGATTTACACAATATCTTACTAATTATCAAACTTGCTTGATATAATGCAGTGAATATTGACGATTCATCATCACTTCTCTTAGCAGTTTAATCATTTTGCCGCAAAATCTCAATCTTCAAACCCGATTCAACGTTTTCTTACAATGTTGACTAGGATGTTTGGTAGCCTAGTGTTTAAAGCGCTCGCTGGGTTCAACTCTCCAATGAGCACACTTTGAGAAGCCAATTTTTATGTTCACCGCAATATTGCCAAAAGAGGCTTAAAACTCACTCACGTTTATAGTTGATTGACTAAACTGCACCCTGGCGTCATCGAAATCATATTAACAGGAAGCAAAATGGTAAACTTCCTTCCTTCCACTAACTATAACAATAACTATAACTATAATGCTTGAAGAAATCTCTCACTCTCCTTTCAACTCATACACCTGGATGAAGAAGGTTTATTCTAGTTTACTGGTCTATGTTCCGATGTAGCTTCATCAATGAAAATAAAAATGGTACACCTCATTCAACGCCAGGTCAGGCCTGTTCCTTAAAAACTGCAATGAATTTAAAATTGTTACAGAAAATGTTAATAGTTAAGTGCAAAAACAGTAAGTACAGTAACTACGCCAAATTCGCAAAATATAAACTGACGCAGAATATTTCCGGTTTACAGTAAATACCGTATCCACTCAGTTTTTAAACGACAATTTGTTCTCGAATATTGTGTAACTGTTACAGTCAACACCATTCTAGACACTGTAGTAAAATCTTCTTATGACTGAAAGTGGTATCTTTCAAAGGTATAACAATATCTGCAATTCTTAAAGTTTTAGAAAATGAATATGATTTTGTGCTTGTTTCGAAACCTTTCTTCAATTCAGAAACACATGCATTCCAAGGTTAGCTTGTTATCCAAACATCAATTCTTGAACTTTCTAAGGGAAATTTCAAATGTCATATCTTTAGATAATACCAAATTGTTCAAATATCACTCGTTGTCCGTTTGAAGGAACATCCACATCTTAAAAGTATTTTGAACTACGGGCCTATGGTATCTCAATCTTCGATGACTTCACAGTCTGACAAGTGGCAGAATTATCAAGATGACGTGTAAAAAGTAGTTTATTCGGACCACGGACCTAAGCAGGACACAATGATACGGAGATATTCCTGAAGACGTTCAATGCGAAGCGTCCATATAGGGTCAGTGATTAAAGAAAACATAATTAAATAGTTTCAGGCACAGCAGTAAACGGGACCTGGGGGGAGTGGTCACAGTGGAGTGGTCCCTCCTGTCCTGCCACGTGTGGTCCTACAGCCAGGCGTAACGTCACCAGATCCAGGACCTGTTCTAACCCAGCTCCCAGCAATGGTGGTGCTTCCTGTCCTGGTGATAACAGTGAACGTCAGACCGAACAGTGTGGGCCAGCTACCTGTGGTATGTACGGAATGATTTTGTCTTTAACTCTTTCAGCACCAGTCAACCAGAGGCATTTACTGCCATGACACCGAGTTCCCAGAGACTCTAAGGTCATAGATAAAACCTGTGTTTATGGAGGAAATTATAAGCTTGTAAAACGTTATTACTACTACATCTCATACACCATTTAAAAGATCTAATCCCACTGTTGATAAATATGAAGTTTATTTTAATAATATAATTCAAATAATACAACTACAACTTAAATAAATTTATTTTTTAATGAAAATGCAAGCTTACATTTATTATGTCCAGATAAACCACGAAAGAAGCAAAAACTATGGAGATTTTATTTCCATTTGTGACATGTCATAACATGCCTGTTTTTCTTTTTATACCAATTATTATGATAAGGGTCTTGGGTCCAAGCGATGGTTCCGGTGGAAACCCTTTTCTAACTGGCGTGCTGGTCTGCTTGGGGAATTAACTCAGCAAAGAGTCCGAAGTCACAAGAAGCTAATCACACTTTTATTTACAAGAACGGAATAACATGGGGTGGCCACAGAGAGTCGGTACAGCCCTCTGAGCTGAGGGCTAGAGCTGACCTGTGTTGGGTGTCTAAACCCTACTGACAAACGAATAGAGATAGTGACCATTTACCTAAAATTGAAACAAGGAAGAGATTATGATTCGTTGACTGATACAAAAATGGGTGTAACCTACAATAACCAATGAAATACAGAATATAACAAAATGGGTGTGTCCTACAAAAACAACTTCATTGACCAGACAGCGGGAGTACTTAATCCTGCTAATCCTATTTCAACTGGCACTAATCTCGTTGGCACTTTTACTGGATGCTTGGATGCTTATCTGGGCCATGTCTTAATGAGGATTTACATGAAAAAATTAAAACAAAGGAGAGTTAGCTTGCTGCAAACAATATATGTGTAGCTTATTTTGGTTTGTGTGGAATACTTACAAAAAAGATACTTTTTCCTGCAAATAAATTGTTTGTTAGTGCATTGTAAAAGGTGACTTTTATAGTATGAAGTCATGACCTGGAATAATGCATGGGCAGTGAATGACACAATGTACATGATTTAGTAAGTATCTCCTGTTAGGATAGAAATGTTATGTATAAGCAAATATATGTATATATACATGTGCTTGTGCATTTAACAAGTGCATTGGTTTTGAACTCATACTTATACATATTTTGTTTTGAACCATTTGTTAGGTACCTTGTTAATTTGGCTGATTTTGTTAGTTTCAACCTTTTAAACATCTTAATTGTTTAGGGATTTTGGTTTTATTTTATTTTATTTTAGCTTTGGTTTATTTTGATTTATTAGTTTGAGTTTACTTCACTCAATTTTGGTTCATTTCGCTTCAGCTCAGCCTGTACGTTTGGCTGAGGTTCGGTTTAATTCGCTTCCGTTTCGCGTTGGTTTGTTCGTTCCGCTTCGTTACGGTATATTTCGCTCTCGTTTCGCGCCGATTAAGTTTGTCTTGCTTCGGTACGATTTATTTCGCTTTCGTTTCGCGTTGGTTAAGTTTTTTCCGTACGGTGTATTTCGGTTTCGTTTCGCGTTAATGACACAGTCTGCTCTAAGGGTCGTGATTGCTCAAAATCAGACACGTGACCCGAGGCAACCAGTCATATTACGGCAATGGATATCGTCCTCGTAAACGAAAACTTTTAGATTTAGACGAAAGTGTTGGGTAAAGTAATGCTATTCTGAACATATTAAGCAAGAAATCGCTACCTATGCGTAATTTATGGAACTTATTGGACGTATCGTGCTAGGTTATGACCTGTGACCAAAATGCTTCAAGCATATATTTTCGCATTAAACATCGTGTCCGAGCGTGAAGATTGAGTCGGCGAGAGCCGAGATGTCACTTGTCAGTGACTTGACTTACATTACATGATCGCACAAAAAGATGGAAATAGTAATTTTATATGTACGTTTGACAACTTTTATGAATGCTGTTGTTGATTTTGTTCATTAGTTTATTCAATTTATTTAATGATTTCCTCAAAACATCGTTACTTTGACAGTATTATTGTGGACCCGCTGCCGAAGCATGTGTCCGAGACTCGTTGTTGTCAATAACATTGCGAAAAATAGTTTATAATTTTAATTCTGCCGATAATATATGATCAATTGAAATTTAATAAGTGTTTTCAGACATTGTGAAATGTGATAGATTTAATCTATGAATCATAAGTCAGGTAGCTTTTTAACATTATGTCTTTTTTTGACGTGACTACTGCCTGGCCGATGAATCGGCCTCCGGTGTTGAATGGGTTAAATATGAATTCTATGGAACTATTGGTTTTAATGACTATGATGAGACGCCCCTGTAAATGCACGTATGTATATGGTCGATTCCAACGAAATGTGTACACAGCTGGGTACAAGGTGTCCAAAATAGAATATCTTGCAGCTTGTAATTCTTTTTACCAGTGTAAATTCAACATATTTACCTCTTATGAAAATCAGTTGCCATCACTAATCTCTAATAGTAACATTGAGGGCTCATTTTCTAAATTACCTACAAATACCAACATCATACCTTGTATATCCTGTGATTAGATGGGTTATATGTTGCCTAACATCCAAATTCACTGTTGTTCTGCATGCTCAATATGTTTATGACTGTAGAAACTCTGAAGCCATATCATGGTTTCTTTCATGTTTTATAACCCAAAGCTTTACGAAAATAGAACCATTTTGGTACCTTTGTTTGATGTAAGTGAGATAGCACCACTTAGCGTTCTTTTCACAAACAAATCATTATTACATATCTATCTTATTCATCTGAGAGACAACGGGTGAAACTTTCGGTAAGTACAACAAATTTGAAAATGATCAATAACTAAATTTGGGGTTGAAGATAAAAAAAATGTACTTGTAGGTAACAAATATCACGTAATTCCTTGTATTTCATAAATGTTTATATATGTCAAACTAAATCGTAGCTGCTTTATTAAACCTTCGAACAGTTTGGAAATTGTTTTCTAAATGCATAGGACATGTGATTGAAGGTTGTTTACAACCAGTTTAAGGCTTTCTCTTTGTTTTGTCTCAGTGTATGTCGGAAAGTAGCAATGTCATTTTAACTGATGGAAATATACTTCTCATCAAAAGTTAAGGCTCACTTAAAACACTCACTTTATTTTATATATATATATATATGGTCACATCGAAGATTGATTTCTCCACTAACTTGGGGAACCAACTGCAAACCTTATGCAGATGAATTGCACGAAGAACATGCATCAAATTGCTGAAAAGCATGTGCAAATATCGTACATGTGAACAGCTGCGTTTTGGTGTAAAGTAAATTTTCAGAATTCGCCAATTTCCACTGATTTTTATCATTTATTGAACTCATGACAATGATCTTTTGAACGTTACGAATTTGTTTTACAATGCATCAGTTCATGTGTAATCAGTGCCTTTAAACAGTATGGAATAGTTTGCAAAATTTAGTTTAAAACAGTCGCCTAAAGTAAGTGGCTATATTTACACTAGTGAGTCTAAATGGTTGATGAGAAGTATAGAACTTGAACTAAAATCATTACATCAGAAATTTTATTTACCAAATGTTTCAACTGACATTTGTATTCAAAGAAAGCACATCACACATGTTCAAAACGCTTGAACTATTACTATATACCATATATAATTATGTACAGATAAACATGTCACTAAAACAATCAATACAGTATACGTCCTACTGAACTATAACTCAAACATGCTGTGTACACTTTTCATTGGAATCGACCATATGCATATTGAACTGTTTATAGTTACTGTATCTTTTCGTAGTTATATGTCAAAGATAATTTGGTGAATAGCCAAACCATGGTTGATAACGGGACAGCGTTAAACTGTAAGTTTGTCTCAGCAATGTGTGACATTTCTAACTGCCTCATGTTCTCTCTTGAAGGATCCTCTGTAATATCCACACCGCTTCAGAACGATACAAAACGTGTAGGGGAGCAGCTAGTGTTCCAGATCCAGTTGACACAAACGGGTCTCACAGGGGTGTGGCAGAAAAACGATGGCGCCATTCCTACTGATTCCCGAATTCTGACATGGGAAACACTGGCAGCATCTACCTGTACATCAGTAGCCTCCAAGTGTCAGACAGCGGCAAATACACCTTCACTGTCGGCGGGGAGACGACGACAGCCTTTGTCACTGTTACATCAGGTAAACAGCGAACCATCCAAATCTCCCTGGTATTTACCTTGACAGAATAAAAGTGAAACTGAACACAGAACGATGTTGTCAAAAGAGAGACAGAGAGCAGGCAGATGCAAGTGATATGTGTTGAGTACTCTCGAAGCTCCTTCTGTAATATGACCGTGTCTTAGTGCTGTGATCATTGCTGTTATCATTTTAATGATTGTATAATTTACTTGAAAGACGAATAGCCTTTCATTCAACTTGATGAAAAATAATAATAACAATAGTCCATTTGTCATGCGCATTTCTCCATGCACAATGCATGCTCTGTGTTACTATTACCCCAAATAACCCAAGCTGCCTCTTAAGCGCCAGAAGGTTATCGTCACATGACTTTATTCCAACAGGTACCCATTTTCTGCTGAATATACAGAGGCAATTTTGAACAAACTCACTTGCCTAAGGTGAGACCACATGTATCACATGAATGCTTCGTTGGGGCAGGACTGAAGTCCTAGAAACTCTCAGGAGTCAAGCTGCCAAACACGGTCACACATGTAGGGACTTCATCTGATTAGTGACCTGAGCTCTACGCACAGGACCACACGCCACCACAAAGTCTGATTAAAATCTGATTTTTCATTACAAACTATCTTCAAAACCACATGTCGGAATCTTACTCAACAGCTGCCAATGATGTCAAGCGCTGCACTTAGACGTGAAGAGTTGTGTTCCTGCCAATATCGTGTTGTCATAAAGGATTTGTTGCCCTGAACGCATAAGTTCATGTACTGTTTCAGACACAGCAGTAAACGGGAACTGGGGGGAATGGTCACAGTGGAGTGGTCCCTCCTGTCCTGCCACGTGTGGTCCTACAGCCAATCGAGACGTCACCAGATCCAGGACCTGTTCTAACCCAGCTCCCGGCAATGGTGGCGCTTCCTGTCCTGGTCAAAGAAGCGAAACTGAAAACCGACAGTGTGGACCAGCTACCTGTGGTATGTACACCGACTTTATTTTGGACTTTGGTTATTTGTCCACATAACGGTTATGCCACGTTACAACTGACATAGAGTAACCTGTACCATGCATCACTGACGAGCTGACTGACTGATTGACCTACTACCTAAAGTACTCAATGACCACACTCAACTTCAGAACGAAAAGTAGTGTAAAGCTACATCTGGTGTATCCACACACATATCAGTCGTTCAACTTGATTACTGTCTGTTACCTTTATAGATAAGGTTTGTTGGGAAGTTGTAGTTGGTAACTATTGTAATCCTCTTGTAGGAATATCATAGTTCTTTGAATTATAAAGTCTTTGTTCATAACAGGATTGTGTTTATGCTTAATTTCATGTACATTTAAGATCATGTACTGTTTCAGACACAGCAGTAAACGGGAACTGGGGGGAGTGGACACAGTGGAGTGGTCCCTCCTGTCCTGCCACGTGTGGTCCTACAGCCAGACGCGACGTTACCAGATCCAGGACCTGTACTAACCCAGCTCCCAGCAATGGTGGCGCTCCCTGTCCTGGTCAAAATAGCCAAACTGAAACCCGAGAGTGTGGACCAGCTACCTGTGGTATGTACACCGACATTATTTTGGACTTTGGCTATTTGTCCACATAACGGTTATGCCATGTTACAACTGACATAGAGTAAGCTGTACCATGCATCACTGACGAGCTGACTGACTGATTGACTTACTACCTAAAGTACTCACTGACCACACTCACTGACCACACTCACTGACCACACTCAGATTCAGAACGAAGAGTAGTGTAAAGCTACATCAGGTGTATCCACACACATATCAGTCGTTCAACTTGATTACTGTCTTTTACTTTTGTAGATAAGGTTTGTTGGATAGTTGTAGTTGGTAACTATTGTAATCCTTTTGTAGGAATATCATAGTTCTTTGAATTATAAAGTCTTTGTTCATAACAGGATTGTGTTTATGCTTAATTTCATGTACATTTAAGATCATGTACTGTTTCAGACACAGCAGTAAACGGGAACTGGGGGGAGTGGTCACCATGGAGTGGTCCCTCCTGTCCTGCCACGTGTGGTCCTACAGCCAGTCGTAACGTCACCAGATCCAGGACCTGTACTAACCCAGCTCCCAGCAATGGTGGATCTACCTGTCCTGGTGTTAACAGTCAACGTCAGACCGAACAGTGTGGATCAGCTACCTGTGGTAAGTACGGAATGATTTCATCTTCATTATATTAACTCTATGGAATTAGTTTTGGTGACAATTATGAGACACCCCCGTAACTGCACGTCTGTATATATGAAACCCCGGAGACTCTCGTGATGTTGAGTGTGGGCCGTCGACGGGTGGTATGTGCGCCAGTGACCTGTTATCCATACTTCATTATAAAATATCCACTCATCTAACATATATTTGTGAAAGCTGCTCTAGCTGAGTGGGTTAGATGACTGACTTTGTGTGCTGGTGATTACTTGCCTGAGAGTGAGGGTTCGAATCCCGGATGGACTCAACCTAACAAAAGTATTAGAATCGGTACTTTACGGAGAAAGTGTAATCCCAAATATAACATATGTTGTATGTCAGACTGCCTTCTGTCATGGAAGTTCCGCTCAAGTGGCATACAATGTAGACTGTCAGATTGGAAGTGCAATATTGCCCTGCAGTAAAACATGTATTCAACAGATCAATATTTTCTGTGAGTATGATTTTACGCCGTTTGTAGCAATATTCGAACCATATCACGGCGGGGGGCACCAGAAATGGCCTTGACATGTTATACCCAGGTGGGTTAAGTGTGGCGAGAGGGCGCTTCAACCACAAGGTTACCAAAGATTACAGTCTTGTCTGATTTACAGTACATTGCCATCAAGGATTCCATGGGAGGAATCTTCATAAGCTACAGACCAGGGGCTCCTATCACGAAGCAAACCTTTACTAAGGTTAACCTTAACTCCCATTCTTTAACATTGCACTAAGGTTATCTTAGTGACTTACGATCACCTTAGTGCTTTGTGACAGGAGGATCTGCCTGGATTAGCTTCTGAATCATCAACAGAGCAGGATTACGTAATTTGACCTTGACATTTCTGGTCGTTACAGTTGGTGGTGGAGTGTCTGATTGGGGCAACTGGAACGACCCCCCCTGCCCCGCCACTTGCGGCCGTGCCGTCTACCACACGCAAAAACGCTACAGAACATGCAACACTGGCAACACCTGCACGGAGACGTTAGAACAGAGCCAGAGAATTATTTGTATGGACAGTTTTTGTCCAGGTGAGTGAAAATTGTCAATTCTTTAAGAATATGCAGACTCATGTCAACGCACCAAGAAAAGTTAAACCAAATATTTCAGTTACACACGTATATCCTATCCCTCCACCGAAATATGGAATCATCGAAGGGACATTGTCGCATTGCTATTTTGTCGCCAGTAAAAAAACAATCAATAATATTAAAAACATACATTAAATCGAAGCAATGCGACGTCACATTTGAACCATTTTGTCGAATTCGATATTTTACTTTTACTCTAAACAAAGAGCGTTCATGTGATAAAATAAATAACAAAATCAGAGTGAGACAATTTTCTACTTTGATGTGTATAATTGGACCTGTGACGTCTTTGGGTTCTCTTTGTAAACTCGTTCTAGGTTATTCTGAGAATTTAACTGATAGAAGGATTCAGAAATAAAATATAATATGCATAAATATACAACATGTAATATATTACATCTATGACATATAGGGGCATCTGACGTGCAGTTCAGGCTGCAAGAAATAATTGAGTTAGTTTTATGTGGTAACAACTTGCTTGTTGTCCAGTTAATGGCGGCTTCACACAGTGGAGCATGTGGACCACAACACGACCGTGCAGCGAAACATGTGGCCCTAGCCTCACGAAGACTCTAGTCCGTACACGCACCTGCACCAACCCAGCCCCGTCGTTCGGGGGAAGTGCTTGTACGGGCGACACCCAGCAAACCTCAGTAGAAAACTGTAACTTACCAGTGTGTGGTGGTGAGTTAAGACAATGTTTTGAATATTATAAAATTGATTGTAAAAATTGTAATGGTGCCACCCTTAATTATCGTCATATACATGAGTGAGTGAGTGAGTTTTACGCCGTACCCAGTTAGATGACGGCGGTCTGTAAATATACCAGTTTGGACAAAACAATCCGGTGATCCACAGCATGAGCGATGATCTACGCAATTGGGATACGATGACATGTGTCAACTAATCCAGCGTGTTTGACCATACGATCCTGTTAGTTGCCTCTAACGACAAGCAGGGACTACTCGGTCAATTCTAATCTTAAGAACGAGTTAAATGTAAAACTGGTATGTACATGTGAAGATCTGTATGTTGCAGCTATTCAGTCCCAATTACAGAGTCAGTCAGCCGGTCCTGGTGGGTCTGTTGTCTTTGAAGCAGTCTTGAGCCAAGACAACGCTGTGGGGTACTGGCAAAGGAATGGAATCACACTGACTAATTCATCCAAAACGCTAATCGAATCTATTGGGAAGACCCAGAAATTGACGATCTCAGATGTGGAGGCGTCTGACGTAGGCAACTATTCATTCGTCGTAAACGGCGAGACGACAACGGCTGCGCTCACACTTCGGTCCACTGTCCCTGGTACGCATATAACTACCTGATTTTATTATATAGCCACCGCTTTTCAGATACCGTGAAATAGTTCTGGATTTAATATTTTCCTCGGGTATATCTCCCAATTTTTAGTTCGTAAGTGATTCAAAATTCATCTTACGCGTTGACATTAAGTGAAATACGGCTACACCCCTACAGTAAGCTACGTATACAAACTATAATATCTAGCCCTGGCATTACTAAACAATCAGCTACGTATACAAACTATAATATCTAGCCCTGGCATTACTAAACAATCAGCTACGTATACAAACTATAATATCTAGCCCTAGCAATACTAAACAATCACAACTACCATGCGCTTGTGTGATATCTGCTGTGATTGGTTACTTTGATACGATGATGTTGAACGTTGTTGCAGTCGATGGCGGCTTCAGTGAATGGGCCACGTGGACGAGTGGTCAGTGTTCAGTCTCTTGCGGCAACGGGTTGACGACGGATACAAGAAACCGCACGTGCACTAATCCTGTGCCTCAGAACGGAGGTCAGCATTGCTCAGGGCCGACGACAGACACGAGAACATCCCCTTGTAACAGGACGTGTACAGGTGGGGTTAACTACAGCAATACCAGTTACCTTAACACATGAATGTAAACTGTCACAATACAGTTCACCTCTATATGTAACTGTAGTCTAAACTGTCACAATACAGTTCACCTCTATATGTAAATGTAGTCTAAACTGTCACAATACAGTTCACCTCTTTATGTAAATGTAGTCTAAATTGTCACAATACAGTTCACGTTGACATGTAGAGTTTGACTAAAATGGAGGTTAAGCTGTCACAATACAATTCACGTTGACAGGTAGAGTTTGACTAAAATGGAGGTTAAGCTGTCACAATACAATTCACGTTGACATGTAGAGTTTGACTAAAATGGAGGTTAAGCTGTCACAATACAATTCACGTTGACATGTAGAGTTTGACTAAAATGGAGGTGAATCTGTCACAATACAATTCACGTTGACATGTAGAGTTTGACTAAAATGGAGGTGAATCTGTCACAATACAATTCACGTTGACATGTAGAGTTTGACTAAAATGGAAGTTAAGCTGTCACAATACAATTCACGTTGACATGTAGAGTTTGACTAAAATGGAGGTTAAGCTGTCACAATACAATTCACGTTGACATGTAGACTTTGACTAAAATGGAGGTTAAGCTGTCACAATACAATTCAGGTTGACATGTAGAGTTTGACTAAAATGGAAGTTAAGCTGTCACAATACAATTCACGTTGACATGTAGAGTTTGACTAAAATGGAAGTTAAGCTGTCACAATACAATTCACGTTGACATGTAGAGTTTGACTAAAATGGAGGTGAATCTGTCATAATACAATTCACGTTGACATGTAGAGTTTGACTAAAATGGAGGTGAATCTGTCACAATACAGTCTACGTTGACATGTAGAGTTTGACTAAAATGGAGGTGAATCTGTCACAATACAATTCACGTTGACATGTAACAGTGGAATACACTACAGCATCACCACAGGTGGGCTGTACTATCACAACGGCACAGAACCCGTGAACATCCGGGTTAGAATTGGTCTTCAACAACCCAAGCTTGTCGTAAGAGGCGACTAACGGGGTCGTGAGGTCAGGCTCGCTGACTTGGTTGACACATGTCATAATATCTCAATGCTTAGATCGATGCTCATGCTGTTGATCACTGGATTGTATGGTCCAGAGTCAAGTATTTGACAGCCGCCCTATAGCTGGAATATTGCTGAGTGAGACGTTAAAAACCAACCAACCCACAACAACACAGTGTACGTAAATGCTGTCAAAATACAGTACATACTTACCCATTCCACGAACACCCGGTGTCATCACTGATTTACCATGATCCAGTCATCACTATTGGTCCACTGGGCCTTGCAGGCAGATGATAGACACCAGATATGCTATGGAGGATGAAGTGTGAATTCAATCTTCAGTTTATTTCAAATTTCAGTGAGTGGGGGATACACCCAGTGGAGCGGCTGGGTCGGGGGGTCGTGCTTGGGCCCATGCGATCAGGGAACACAGACAGACACTAGAACTCGCTCGTGCACGAATCCTAGACCACAGAACGGAGGTCTGCAATGTGCTCCACCGTCTTCAGAGACGAGGACAACGTCGTGTGTAATGGCCACATGCGCAGGTAAGTTACTGACTGACTGAGTATGGTTTTACGCCACTTTTAGCAATATTCCAGCAACATCACGGCGGGGGACACCAGAAATGGGCTTCACACATTGTACCCATGTGGGGATTCGAACCCGGGTCTTCGGTGTGACGAGCCAACGCTTTAACCACTAGGCTACCCCACCGCCCCTGCAAGTTAGTTAACCATCAAGTACTACGTATAGGTAATACATGTACGGTGAAATGTAAAGTAGTACGTATAGCTAATACATGTACGGTGAAGTGTAAAGTAGTACGTATAGGTAATACATGTACGGTGAAGTGTAAAGTAGTACGTATAGGTAATACATGTACGGTGGAGTGTAAAGTAGTACGTATAGGTAATACATGTACGGTGAAGTGTAAAGTAGTACGTATAGGTAATACATGTACGGTGAAGTGTAAAGTAGAACGTATAGGTAATACATGTACGGTGAAGTATAAAGTAGTACGTATAGGTAATACATGTACGGTGAAGTGTAAAGTAGTACGTATAGGTAATACATGTACGGTGAAGTGTAATGTAGTACGTATAGCTAATACATGTACGGTGAAGTGTAAAGTAGTACGTATAGGTAATACATCTACGGTGAGGTGTAAAGGAGTACGTATAGGTAATACATGTACGGTGAAGTGTTAAGTAGTACGTATATGTAATACATGTACGGTGAAGTGTAATGTAGTACGTATAGGTAATACATGTACGGTGAAGTGTAAAGTAGTACGTATAGGTAATACATGTACGGTGAAGTGTAAAGTAGTACGTATAGGTAATACATGTACGGTGAAGTGTTAAGTAGTACGTATAGGTAATACATGTACGGTGAGGTATAAAGTAGTACGTATAGGTAATACATGTACGGTGAAGTGTAAAGTAGTACGTATAGGTAATACATGTACGGTGAAGTGTAAAGTAGAACGTATAGGTAATACATGTACGGTGAAGTGTAAAGTAGTACGTATAGGTAATACATGTACGGTGAAGTGTAAAGTAGTACGTATAGGTAATACATGTACGGTGAAGTGTAAAGTAGTACGTATAGGTAATACATGTACGGTGAAATGTACAGGCGCGATACTAGACAGGTACTGTGAGAAAATAGACTTTTATACTAAAAATTAAAAGTAGGTAAACAACCTACCCAGTTAGAGTAGATAGCAAGATGCCATTTAGAAAGTGATCAAATGTAACATATACTACCCATCAAAAGTTTAGACTCACTTAAAGCGCTCATTATATATAATGCATATATATATATGGTTACATCGAAGATGAATTTTTCCACCAACTTGGGGAACCAACTGCGCAAACCTTATGCAAATTAACTGCACGTGGATCATGCATCAAATTGCTGAAAAGTCGGTGCAAATATCGTGCATGTGAACAGCTGCGTTTTGGTGTAAAGTTTTGTTAAGAATTCGCCAATTTTCACTGAGTTTCATCATTTATTGAACTAATGACAATAATCTTTTCAACGTTACGAATTCGTTTTACAATACATCAGTTCATGTGTAAACAGTACCTTTAAACTGTATGGAATATTTATAATCTATTCTACCATGGCTACGTGAAATGCTCGAATTTGATTGGTCAATCAAAAAATCAGACGGTATCAAATTTGGATTGACAATGCGTCTGATTTCACGGCACTTCACTGCGCACGTATACATCACTGCCGCACTACTTCAGCTTGGCCACCAACATGACTAATATCAACACAACAGACGTGATGGAAATGCTGATAAAACATTTATTAAAACTCGAAAAATATAATTGTACGATTTCTCCTCCACAATTATTAGGTAACCTCACTATCATAATTATTACCTTCTATTATAAAAATATTCAAACTCAATTACAATACACAGCCCCAAACATAAACAAACAATATCTAACATATAAATCAGAAAACCTAATCTATCCCTATTTGTGCAGCAAAACGTTCGTAAACATTTGCCTACCTGGTAAATGGTATATTTGTTTCCGTTTAGAATGGGAAATTTGCACGATAACGGTCAGGCATAACACCAAATTTATGCCACTCATACTCCATCATGTCCCGTTGCATCGTTCAAAATGTCAAAAATTGAACCACGAGAATTCCTCTCTCTGCCACCTTCCCAGCAAGGCTGTCACTGCTATGTTCGTACACTTTGTAGAAAGGTTGGCCACAATCCAGTCCCAGATGATGAGAACAATGTTCCAAGGAATCCCAAGTTAGTCGCATGTACAAAAAGCAGCACTGTCACTCTTTCGTTGCATGCCGGGATGGAGGCACGTGCGTGAAATCATGATCGACACTCGCCGGTCATAAAAATCAACAGTCATTGATGAGTTACAGGTCGTAGGTTATTCAGAAAAGGATCTATTCTTCGATTCTGCAGGGTTCAGATTCGACAGTCAGTCAAGTATTTTCCACTGTCACTTCAAAATTCAACCTTTCTCAAAATGTAAACACTGGCTCGTCCGCCATTTCTAACTGTTGCGCTGTCAACAACTACAAGAAAATAAGTAGGTCAGACGATTCCATTATAGTGTGGCCAAGGGGTACAGTAACACGGCACTTAGGTGCTGATGTACATATCATATAAACTACGCGTTCGGCTTCAAATGAAATTTAGAGACTATCAATTCGGTCTAACATTCATCTAATTTCCAAACACAGTACGTTTATCTCCTAACTTTAGAACTGTTGACCGGAGTAAGTGGCTACATTTACACTAGTGAGTCTAAACTTTTGATGGGTAGTACATTTGGGATTACACTTAATCAGTAAAGTACACATTCTAGTACTTTTGGGGGTTGAGTCCCATCTGGGATTTGAACCCACACTCCGAGTCAGGCACCAAAACGCCAGCTCACAAAGTCAGTGATGTAACCCACTCCGCCGATGCGGCTTCAACAAAAATGGAAGTCTGGCAAGTAGTAGAACCCACATGGCCGAAAGTTATGATTACACAATGCCACTGAGATGTCACTTACGGAGGAAGTGTAATCCTAAATATAACATCTTATACACTTTAAACGATGTTGACAACTATTTGCAGTTGATGGTGGAATGACTGATTGGGCTGCATGGGTCAACCAATCCTGCACGGAGACTTGCGGTAAGAGTGCCACGAGAACTGTGGACAGACACCGAAACTGCTCAAATCCAGAACCGAGGTATGGAGGGCGCCCTTGTACAGTCCATCCGTATGAATCTAAAGTGGTCAACTGCGGACTTGAGGACTGTCCGTCGACAGGTGAGGGGCTAATGTCGCTTGATGTGGAGATTAAGACACCTCAGACTCCAATGGTTTATGTTGCTAATTTTTCGATGAACATGGCGCTAGAATAGTGTCCGGTTGATACTTTGCCAGGCATAAAAAACGAACATTTCGCGCACGTTTCGTAACAGTGGTCTGTCAGAATGGTGTTTTTACACGGGACACAGTACTGGTTTGACACGTAACATATTCTTATGGTGACAACTAGTGTTGGTTTGACACGTAGCATATTCTTATGGTGACAACTCATGTTGTTTTGACACGTGGCATATTGTTATTGTAACACGTGGCGTTTGATTGTTTTGACAAGTGACATATGTTTGGTTTGACAAGTTGCATATTGTTCTGACATGTGACAAATTGTGTGTTGAGCAGGAAGTAGTTCTTCATTCACACTGGAGAGAGGCGGTTTGTACATTGGGCTGATCGCCGCAATCATCGCCATCGGAGTGTTCCTCATCATCATCATCGTCGCCTGCTGTCTGTGGAACTGTAGAAAAGAGTAAGTAGAGGGCTTCTGTCCGACATTTGCCTTCTCTTGTTTGTGTTTAGCTGAGCCCATGCGTTGTCAAATGTGAGACTGTGTTTAGCTAAGCTAATGAGTTGTCAAATGTTAGAGAGTTTTAGCTAAGGGCAAGTGTAAGTTCAGGTGGAGTTTGTTGCACTTAAACAGGGAAGATCTGGTAGGATATGATTTCGCTGGGATGGTGGTAGAGTTAAAGGTAGGCGTAAGGGTAGATGGATGTCGCCCAGAGACCTGGACTATGGGCTTAGGGCCACTTTTGGACTCCATACTCGCATTTAATTATCTTGTTCTGGTATATCATAAACGAAACAACATTTTATGCGTTGAACTGACTGAAATAGTTCTATTTGCTGCCTCGACTACTCCCAGCATGTTACTACCAAAATGGTGAGTGAGTGAGTTTAGTTTTACGCCGCACTCAGCAATATTCCAGCTATTTCACGACGGTTTGTAAATAATCGAGTCTGGATCAGGCAATCCAGTGATCAAAACAATTGGGAACCGATGACTTGTGTCAACAAAGTCAGCGACCGATGGTGTCACTCATATGAGCATGTTGTGTTCAAAGACTCCGGTAGTTTGAGAAAAACCAAATCGCTTAGAGACAACATAACGAGCAAATTCAAGAAAAAGTCATGATTGTGGAAGGTTATCATGTTTACGTTTTTCTCATCCACGGCTAAAGATATGGCGGAGTGTGTCAACTACAAATAACAGCATGCAGAGAATATGTCCAGTAGTGAAATAGTCTGTAGCGCTTTGAGCATGCATTATGATGTGGAATAGGCGCATTATAAATATGCATTTATTATTATCATCAGGGGTAGTGTAGTTTGAAAGATCCATGGCGTGACTGAAAATGACCAACTCTTAACGCACTACACCAGACCTCCCCACCTCAGTGAGACCTTTCACCTTCATACAATATCTCTATCCTTTTGTCTCGGAACCCACAAATGTGTATTTCAAGCATCTTTGTTTCGTTTCCTTGTCTGTTTCAGTCGATTGTCCAAGAAACATGGCAACTGTATGTCTGTTTTCTAATTCAGTAACTATATACTTGGCTTGTGTAAGCTGACATATAAACATGCATTGACGTTGCAGTTGCACGATAAACTTTATCTGATTTCAGAACCACCACGACAAAAGTGAAAATAAAAGATAATCATGAACTTCTGAAAATATATCATTTGGACAAAGACGCGTACAGGTTTTAGTTCAGTGATTAGTCCAGAGAAGGTATTCTATAACCCGGCTATATATATCAACACAACACCTTCAGGCGACTTCCGTCAGGTCAACCCTCAAAACAACATTGACGTGTTTTAATTACTCTTAATGCTGTGACGCTGAGATTACTTAAACACACTAGGCAAAAGGAATGGAATATATGTTAGGACCCTTACTTACGATATCTATCTTGACTATCTTGAAACAGTCTGTTACCCCATGCTTCAAAATTAACAGACAAGCTTTTACAAGTTGGAAATGGGAATCTGTTATTTTTGTTGCATGTCGTCAAGATGATCGGACTGCGGGATTGGTCAGGCTGTCCATAGATACTCTGACCTCTGGTGCAGATACAGAAGACCTTTTCGCAAAGCTCCCAGACATTTTTTCTTCTTTCTCGGTCATTGTCTTCCAGATACCCAGTTGGCTTTGAGCCATATCCTCAATACAATTATTATATTTTTCAAGCATTTGGGGACATCATTTAAGAATCCCGCCTGTTCAGAGATGTTATGTCTGTCTTAAAGGTTCCTATGGTTGTTCATGTTTGATGTTACTGGATTCGCCTGGAGATCAGCTATTAATTACCACTACACCAAACTGTTAGACGTTATATCGTTATGTTACTACTAATCTAATTATCAACTGTGACAATTATTAACAGTGTGACATGGCAGAGCCTCAGCAGACCAGAGTGCCCCTTCCCCATCTTTTCCCCTCACATAATGGAGATTGCCAAATGTTAGTCACCTGCCATGTTCTGCTCACCTCTTGCCAGTGATAACCCCAGTTCTCGCATTCTCACAAGACATGCTTCCTTCAGTTTAGTTCTCAAATACATTAACAAAATATTTGTCACATAAGCATCAACTCTGAAAATTATGTTACGATTTTAAATCCTCAGTTACCACGTCTTCATCTTTCATGCAACGCCATTCAGTATAACGGTAACACAAAAACCACGTGATGGCATCAGGCTTCCAGAACCAAGTGTGAACAAAGCCAATCGTGTCAATATACCTACAGCAGTTAAACGTAATTGATCATTATTGTTTCAAATAGTATACAAAAGTGTCAGTGTTCATTTTAAACAACATAAGCAGTCATAGTTGCTTTAAATGTGCATATTCTCTTTTGGTTTTATAACAATGCAGAGCCCGCACCTTATAATATCAACACAATATCACCTGTTTATAAAGTAATATCCCTTTCCGACCAATTCGACCACTTACAAACACGTCAAAGGGTGCACAGAGTATCAACCACACAGACAGCCATATACGAGTATTTAATGTCGCATACTAACTCCCAATATCACCTATACCAGCTAACAATAATTCGGCGCATGCACGCAAATATGTGTTGGTGAAGGTCGGTTAGTGAGTAGGGGTATCTTAGTGTCGGACAGTCATTAGGGGTATATTAGTGTTGACCAGCGATTAGGGGTATATTAATGTTGACCAGCGATTAGGGATATCTTAGTGTTGACCAGCGATTAGGGGTATATTAGTGTTGACCAGCGAGTAGGGGTATATTAGTGTTGGACAGTAATTAGGGGTATCTTAATGTTGACCAGCGAGTAGGGGTATATTAGTGTTGGACAGTCATTAGGGGTATATTAGTGTCGGACAGCGATTAGGGGTATATTAGTGTCGGACAGCGATTAGGGGTATATTAGTGTCGGACAGCGATTAGGGGTAACTCGGGGGTAATGTGTGCATTATCTGTCATGAATGCATTGATGAAATGTTGCATACATTATTTTCTACATGTTTAGGAGTGATGGAGATTGATTATACATATTATGGATGTACAACTTCTTTATCCTGGGAACGGCGACATAGATTCATCAATTGCTTGACAACATTGGAATCTATGTCGAAATGTCGCCTTTCACAGAGTAAAGAAGTTCATCATTCTACAGGTAGCTGGTCCCATGTCAATACGGTCAACACATTGTATTCATGATATCATCTTATCCTGCATGGTACCACGGGTACCACGCTGTCTGGTTTATGTTTGTCAAATCATCATGTGCTATCTATCATTGTGGCAAAGGGTTGTGCGTTGTGATATATGGCTTCAACTGTGTTATTCTGATTTCAGCGCAAAAGCCCACCAATACCAGGATAAGATGAATTCGTTTGACCTTGAAAGTATCTCTCGGCCCAATGGGGACTATGTACCACGAGGGAAGTACATGGACCCGTCTTTCAATGGAGGGGACAGGTTATGAGTTGTCAACAAGACGGTTCCTTTGTACAGACAATGGACAACGAATTGAAACCACTTGCTATTTCAGTGATCGGAACATGTTACCTGGTGCTCTTCACATCACAGGTGCTTCAGCAACACACTTACAAGGACAAGCTAATGCAAGCTGCTAACAGCGTGAGTGTGTATGGCATCGTCCGAGGTCATAATGTGTCCTGTTTTCTTATTTTCGAACGAAAGTGCATAAATAACGGAGACAAAATGGTAAGGTTACTGTGAACTATGATATTATGTCCTGTCAGAATATGATATCAAGGGTAACTATGTGCTTCAACTGCATGCAGTGTTTGCATTCATTCAACAATATTCCAGTATTCTTTTGTGTTCAGTGTCATTTAGCTATTGCCATATAAAACCTTGGGGATGTCACTTGTCATGACTTGGATACATGTCACAGTGCTAGATGTCACATGGGGTGCAACCAGGTCAGATGTGTGACGTGTTGTGTTGGTCATAGGTCAAACAGTCGTTATTCGTTAGCAAATTCACACATAATAAATGTGTGCCTCTGACAAATATAAATACGAGAAACAAGATGACATGTAGAAACACATGTTCCCCTAACAACTGGAAACACATGATACAAGATGTTCCTCTGACAACTAGAATTACATGATACAAGATGTTCCTCTAACAACTGGAAACACATGGTGCAAGATGTTCCTCTAACAACTGGAAACACATTATACAAGATGTTCCTCTGACAACTGGAATCATTATCCAAGATGTTCCTCTAACAACTGGAAACACATGATACAATATGTTCTCCTGACCAATGTAAACACATTACACAAACTGTTTCCCCTGACCAGTGGAAACACGTGACACAAAATGTTCCTCTGACCAATGGAAACACGTGACACAAACTGTTCTCCTGACCAATGAAACACGTGACACAAACTGTTTTCCTCTGACCAATGGAAACACGTGACACAAAATGTTCCTCTGACCAATAGAAACGCTAGATACTGGATGTTCCTCTGACAAACTAAGTATGTGATATTGTTGTGCTTCTGACAAATTGAACGTGATGCAAGATGTGATTCAGACCAGTAGAAACTTGTGATACGAGATGTTATAATCAAATGGAACACGTTCAATAGGAAGCGATTCTAGATTTTGGAAATACGTATTTCAGGATAAAAGTATTATCGATGATATTTTATGTTTGTTAATCAATCAATCTTTATTTCTTGTAGTGGAGGCCACAGGCCGATTCTACATTTACAGTTGATTATGAGATAGAATATGCAATATAAACAAATAGCATACGGTTCAGTTATGTTACAGTATGTACAAATGACTATCTATGTCGCTTATCATTACATACATACACTGCTAGTTTCTGGATTTACATCTGACATTAAAACATTAAATTTATGTACAGTAGGATTCAAATAGTATTTATTTGGCAAAATAGAGATCTTAGATGTTAGAATACATTACATACTGATAAAAAATGGTATTCGTCTTCAATATATCGTTCTTTGCATACAAGGCATGATCCGTCAACTTTAGTTTCTTTAATATAGTTTCAAACTCTAAATTGAGCAAACGCGGCCCTGAAGTTTGAAATAGTGATTTTTTTATATACAATTCTAGCCAAATGATGATTTAAAAGAGATATAGGTAGAGGTGCTATAGAGGGTTGCATGCCAATCCTGCTCATAAGAGAGTTTTAAGTATTATGCAAACACCGACATAGAATTTCTAACATTAACTACACATTGTTCCTCCCAAAGATAGCCAAATCCATACATATAAAGAATGTGTTTGATTTTAGGTATTTGTTATTTCCTATCTTGTATATAATATATGTCGCCGTTGGAGAAGAGTTCCCTCCCTGTACATTATATCTATGTTTGACCTGAGCATCGAGACTGGGTCAACATCGCTTGTGGATATACTCAGATTTAAATTTCAAAGACTTTGTCGTCATGATTGAACAATGTCCAGAATATTTTCATTATAGCAGATTGATGGATGATATTGCTTGTTGATATATGTGTAAAATATATGATGCTGTCATTATAGCAGATTGATTAATGATATTGCTTGTTGATATATGTGTAAAATATATGATGCTGTCATATTTATAAATCTTTAATTCAGAATGTTTTGTTTTGTTCTGATGGGTGGTTCATCTGCAGTAGAACACTATGAGCGTGACCTTTTTAAGTACTGAATACAGATTGATCGATTAAGTGGTTAAAGTATTACTGTACCCACAAGAATCTGATATTGAAGCTTCGTAGTTTGCGATACTTCAATACTGTTATGATTTGGTTCCAGCACATTCCTAAGAATCAACAAACATAATTGTGTTGTCTTGACCTCTGACGTGGCTGAATGTCATCGTATCCTAATGTCGTACATCGATGGTCACGTTATCATGTTCGTCATGATGTGTCTAGTCTAGGCCTACAAAGCTGGAATATTGTTGAGTGTGGCCACATATAGACTAACATCTCGTCTCTGAAATGAACATATTTTACAGAAAAAAACTGTTTATAAGAAAATAATCATAAAATATAATGAAAAGGAGCTAAGAGTCTTTCTTCATTTTCAAATCTAGACTTGCCACGTATTCTAGACTTGCATGGGCTTTCTTGAATATATTTGTTTCCGGGTTTGTATCGCAGACTAGGCCACAGGCAGCAAACAAGCAAACAAACCGTGAGGCCTTTCAGCCTGTGTGTGCACTGAAAACACCTACTATTGATCAAATTCTTGTAATGCATTCACCAAATACTGTCATATATTTATTGATGATACTTTAGAGGGTCTTCATTACTACTAATGTGATCGTTAAACCATAAAATTCAAACAAGGTTAAAAAATGCAGAAAACTTTAATGTTTTAAATATACACGCCGTGTTTGAAGTTTTATGAAATGCATTCAAATTTGTATTACTATTCACAAAGTTTTACATTTCAAAGTTATGTTTGCAAATAGGGAAGTGTGCGCCGTAAGTATGTAGTTTCATATTGAGTACATGTGGGTGAACTAAAATGGTTCATTAAAAATATATGTTTTATATGAATATAGAACTTAAACTTTAGAGAAGACAGCATTTCAGAGTTACTTCACTCGTATGATTGATGTTTTGTTCAGCACAATGCAATATGTTTAGAATAAGTTCCAAAATTTCAAGGTTAATTTTGTGTTGAATATACATGGTATTTGAGTATATGTGGTGTGAAATGCAATAAATAAGTCAATCGTACAGTACATATGGTTTATCACACATATACGTGTGATTATAGTCGGAATCGTTCAGTTGACCCTACATTCTGCTGATATTTTTATGATTATGATAAACCGTCTGTGGTAACTTAAATGAGATTTATTCCCAATTTATTCCCATCGGGGTTTAATACCACGCTTTTCTTAGTCAGCTTATGTAACAGAAAGTCATGATATGTAAGTTTGATGTATGAATGCCTCAGCGATCATGACTACCCGACCTGTTAGTCGTCGCCAAGACTGGGTTGCTGGAGGTCATTTCTCATCCTGAACTTTATGGATCCTGTTCAAACGGATTCCACAAAATCATAATGACGAAAGCAAAATAGCAGAGAAGAGGTATAAGAGGATTGTGGAAATCAGTGATGGCAAATGATCCACAAACGAAGTGACACCAGGGTGGGGTGGGCGGATGGGATTGGTGAGTTCTAATGTCCCACCCAAAACATTTCATTTTTATCTTACTAACTGAGCATACTTGGTTCTAACTAATGAGCTATGATGAAACTCAGAAACCTCAGTCCACCAGCAGGAACATCGATCTAGTGTTTGTTTATCTGTCGAAGGTTCCACTTAGCGTAAACGGTCAAATATTAGTAAAATCATTTTATTGGATCAGTGAAAGATAATCGCTCCACTCACATATTTGCCGAATATTTCAGACCCCATTTATTTACAAACATCATACAGCTGTAATACTGCTGAAACAAATATCTGCTCTTGATATAGTCACAATTGTACAATCGACTCTGCTTTTGTCGCTTTTTTTTCACGTGTAACATTGCATGCAAAGATTCAAACACAACCCAGGAAACAGTGCGGAAGTTTTTATTATGCATTATTTATGTCCAAATTTGAAATATATACCATATCAATATTAAACACAAATTATAATAACTTTTACGTTTCTTTTCTGAAAAATAATGAAATTAACAAAATCTCAACTAAGACAATATTTTTCCAGTTGATGACAACGATGAAATCTTTAGTGGGTTAGGTTCTGTATACTCTGACCAATGAGTGGGAATGTAAGTGAGGTGTAAATAACATCAATATTCATATATAACAAAGTGGTAATAATTTAACAGTAATTCATAACCACATTGTAGAACATTCAGTTTATAGTTTGCATAACAATGGAAACATTTGTTTCTTGTGTCAACTGCATCAGGAAAGGATTATTTTCAGTTGCGAGAAATAATCTTGTTGTCATGAATATAGTCTACTAGTAAAACATAGCGATACAATTGTGGCAAGGAGCTAGCCGAGATTTCAATACAATATCAATCTTATAAACACTGTCAACTGAAGTTATTATTTAAAGGCGAGAGAACTCCAGTGATACACCGACAATATATTAATGTTGCATACATGGAAACAGGTGCAGTTAGCTAAACACAGACAAGTAAAACGTTGGCAGGACTGAAATATTTAACAAGATACATGCTTGCAAGAAAACAGTAAAACATCACACATAACGTTTCCACGCAGTTTACAATATGGCACTAGCAGAGATCACACTAGATTATTGACTTCAAACGGCAGTTGTAGACTACAGGTATTCATGTTAATGGCATGAAGGAACTGTACATAGATTGTGTAGACTGGACAAGCTCAGTGGTTCCCTCAATACAGGTTGCCTGGGTCACACTTGTACACGTTGATCTGAAAACGAGAGTATGATTAAGTATCATGCATTAAATTTCCTTTTATCCAAATGTTATGACGTTACTTAGAAATCCGTCATTCCCAAGACTCCGAAACATATTCCATGTGGCTAAAGAGGTAATGCGTCTAATATACATCTTGTATCGCAACACTGCTATTATTACCACGTGTAATAACGAATTCAATATGCATTTCAGTAAAGGGGCGGTGGGGTAGCCTAGTGGTTAAAGCGTTGGCTCGTCACGCCGAAGACCCGGGTTCGAATCCCCACATGGGTACAATGTGTGAAGCCCATTTCTGGTGTCCCCCGCCGTGATGTTGCTGGAATATTGCTAAAAGCGGCGTAAAACCAAACTCAGTCAGTCAGTCGTTCAGTAAATATGGCCTCCACTATAGGGCGAATATTGCAAATGACTTGAGGCAGACGAGCACTTCATTATTGAGCAACACGAACATTATTGACCATTGTCTTCTTGCACGGTCCGATCTTAGCACTGAGACAATTCCTCCACTACAGTTCACAGATTTAAACGCTGCATGTAGTCGTGCAGCTGACGTAGTGATGTCGTCACTGGGCGACCTACCTCATCCATCTGACCATCGTACGCTGTCAGCACAGAACCGTCGGACCCGAAGGTCAAGCCGCACGCTGCCACGTTCACCTTGGGCGCTGCAGATAACAATAGGGACTCTATAAATATGACAGTGACACTGATACCCCGGAATCTAAACGATGTGAAGATATTCTCATGTGTAAATGCAACTATCATTTGTCTGGTCCCAAGTTCCCCAAATCCAAGACTGATGAATATACATTTTAGGGAATTTCTACTGACGTTTTGACACCTGCTTCTGGATTTACAACTTTATCGGGGTAGATATTACAGTCAAACCTGTCGTGATATGTGCCCCTTGTTCACGAATGTAGAAGTCTACTAGAAGTCTGAAGTATTGATCATACAAGTAACATGATACTATTTATCGCATAGAAAATACAAACGTTGTTACTTTTACAGGGTATGATGTGCACCATAAATTAAATGCACCGTCTATTCATACGTCACTTTGGCCTGACACATATTCATATCCGGACACATGTGTCATATTTGCGGATATAAAAATTATTTCACTTACGGGATTTATAAGTGCCTAGGTAACATCCTTACCAAAAACAGCTGTATAAGTTCCACTTACTAACAGCTGTAATAGTCCACTTACAAACAGCTGTTTCTAGTCAATTTACCAAACGGCTACATCAACTCCACGCACCATATAGGTGTTACTTCCACTTACCAAACAGCTGCAACTACCACTTACCAAACAGCTGCAACTACTATTTACCAAACAGCTCCAAGTACCACTTACCAAACAGCTGCAACTACCACTTACCAAACAGCTGCAACTACCACTTACCAAACAGCTGCAACTACCACTTACCAAACAGCTGGCTCATGACTCTGTAGTTGCCCTGCCTGATGACCCCTGTCAGGACCTTGCCGTTATACATGAGGGTGACGTCTTTCCATGTCGACGCTTCCAGACCCTGAAGTTGTAACCATAATCCGTCAATTTCACCAGTTACAATATTCGTGAAAATCATGAAACAAATGTCTACGTCACATAGCGAGCCATCAGCGACATACGTCACAAGCAGCAATCCTCAAGTCATTATAAGAGACCTTTACGTAATGGTTCATTGGCATTAAGAGCAGTGATTGTTAGCCTTTCGGGCTGTTACAAGCAAATATCTAGCTTCTACATTGGTAAATTTAGTCGTTCATTTTCTGTAAAGCTCGCAGTGTGACTCATTGCGAGGAAATGGAACAGTCAAAATATCCACTCCTGTTGAGATAAGTACGTACCATCGTCGATAGAGGCATGCTTAGAAGCGTCCCATACCACGACGTCAGTTCAAAGGTCAGGGTGGAGTTGTGAATGGCAATGATCATTGTGTTGCCATGGCGACAGTCGCTGCTGCTGGCGAGCACCTGTCTCCCGCGACTTCCGTTTTCTCTGTACCTAAATCTGAGTACAACTGGGCAGCTCACACCGGCCTCCGCCAGCTTCACGTCAGCCACCATCTTGCCTAGCCCAGTAAAGGCGGCGACGCCGTTGGTAACGTTCACTGTGTCAAGGGTCAGCATGTCTCCTTGAGTCGCGTTCTGGTTGTTAAATGTCAGCGAAAACTCTGGCTTGCAAGCTGCAGATCAACATAACAGACACTTGGTGTGTGGAAAGCAAAATGTTCACAGAACGGTACCTTGTATGTGGTGAACGGTAACAGAAAGAGCCACAGTTGGGAATGTGACAGAATATTGCTAATAGATACAATTTATGAACGTAAGTGCATACAAAAAAGGTTATTAATGAATACAATGGGCTATCGGTATAGTCAACATCAATCTATTATTGAAAATAAGTGGTATAATTTTAGATATCAACTTCTCAGTTTGACGTTACTGTCTGAGCAGCACTGATGGTAACATGACGAGACGATGACTTACTGTCATTCTTGCGCACGTTGCAGCCGCATTCGAGGATGTCAAAGTAGGCACCAGGGATGCAGCTGGTGTCCATCCATCCAAGAAATCCAACGCTCATTTTGTAGTTCTGAGAGTTATCCCATACGGGGGCTTTGTCGCACGTCTCTGTAACATAACCCCGTCATTTCATCAACCCTGTATGTACAGATGGCACTTCATGCCCTGGATACCCAGTGTACGTTCGTGTATTGGTTTGTGGAGTTGATACACAGTAAGTACTGTACATGGTCAATTATTAAACTTGATTTTCTTACCATACGTTACCACCCTTCCCAGTGGCAAGTTACGCTATACTGAGTTGTCCACATCAAATATCTAAATCAGTTAAAACATTCCGAAGACACCAGGTGTTCGCGAAGATGTATCCTTGAATGTTGTAACCTTGACCAAGCAGCTTCTGAGCAAGAGTGACATGACACTTTTTGAAATCTTGATAAAAAGAGCACGCTCGGTTGTGAAGAATCTAGGAGTTGTTTTCGACTCCCACATGACCATGAACAAGCAGGTCACCCATATGTGCCAGTCTTCTCATTACCATCTTCATCAGATAACTAAGACGATATCTTTCAGATGAAACCGCCAAAACTCTCACTCAAGCAACAGTCATATCTCGCCTTGACTATGCCAATTCACTTTTTTATGGGATAACAGCTTCCCTGGTTCATCGACTCCAGGTTATACAAAACACGGCCGCCAGGATAATAACTCGTTGTTCTCGAAGAGGCCACATTACCCCCAGGTTAAGAGAACTGCATTGGCTACCTGTTGCTAGACGCATACAATTCAAGGTGTTCACCATTATCTACAAGTGCCTGAAGACCAACCCTGCTCCATCTTACTTGTCATCTCTTCTTAACAACCATAGACCAACAAGAACCCTTAGATCACAAGATAAAGATCTGCTTATCACCAGACCATCCAGGACCAATTACGGGGACCGCTGCTTTTAATGTGCAGCTCCCATGCTATGGAACAACCTCCTTATGTCGCTAAAATCCGCTCCAAGTCTACAAACTTTTCGAAAACATCCAAAGACACATCTATACTGTATATTTGAAATGAAATAGACTGAACTGCACAAGCGCCTGTGAGCAGCCTAGCTGGAACTCGGCGCTATATAAGTAGATTATTATTATCATTATTATTATTACCGCAAAAGCTGTGAAATATATACACCAAAGGATGGAGCTTTTGGAATATTGCTCGACATGAAAGGGAAGTTGACTATCCCTTTTGTCATACAGCCTTGTGGAGAGTTTGTTGTCACTCTGAATCATTAGGAATAGATCTAAATATGAAACAGCTGAGGTGGTCTCCTTAATTTTAAATTCAGGTGGGTAAATCATTGGAAGGCAATTGGCGATTTGATGGTTATTGAACGATATTAAATCATCGATGTTTCGGAAGCTCAAGTTAAATTTCTTGGCCAAATTACCTTGTCTTGATTTTGCCAACTCAGGCAGAAATTCCTATTCATACACATAAAGAAACAGATCCGCAAGGAGGCGAGCACAAGTGGTGCCCATGGGGATGCCTACTTCTTGGCGACATGGTTTACCCCCAAATTTCACAAAGATGTTATCAATGAGGAAGTCTAACAACTGAGCAAGAGCAACCCGCGTCGAAGACGGGAAATATATTATCTCCCCTGGGTTGTGTAACACTTACCAGCCGGCGTGCAAGGCGTGGGGCAGGGATCTCGACAATACAGGTCCGGGAAGCAGCCTTTTCCTGGCACGTACCGGAAGCCCACAGCACAACACTCAGCCTGGGACTTGCCCTTGTCACATGACCAGTAGGCACGGCAACTGCCCTCCATGTTGTATGTCGTCACACATGTGTCGTTGCACCTCTCTGGTAACATATCCAAGACATGTACTGACACACTGAGGACATAAGGGACACTGCTTCATCAATATTATACCGACTGACTTAGCTACTATTCAGGAAACATAGATGATACTCGGACTACAACTAAACATTCCCCAAACTGCAAGGGATATTAGTTGCTAGTGGTCGTGTCTGTGTTAAAGAAAGAATTGCGAGCACATTGAAAGAAGAATGCAAACTGAAAGTAGAACCTTTCACTGCCAATGATCTTGAAGGACGACTGGGGTAAGTTGGCACATTTAAAATTGATATGTTGGCCATTAAGATTTGTTTCTCGTGATCCATGTTATAAAAGAATGTATATAGAATTCACTGTTTTCATATTGTATTTTTCAAACTGGTTATATTAAATCAGCAAAAACATTCAATTTCATTTTAAAATCAATAATACAAACTTCTGTTCTGTTTGAATAATGCATATTACAGGTTTAAATACTGATTCAAATGTGTTTTTGAAACAGTGAAAACGCACTTAAATAACCTGATGTAGATGCCCAACAAAATCAGTCTCCAAAATCTCGAATGCATCCAACAGTCAAACTGGACATGCAATTGTCTGAATGTGATATTGTACGTATTGTACGTATTGATTGTACGTATCAATAATGATGTCTAATACACTTACCGTGTGGACAGGTGACCTTCCAGGAGTGGTCACATCTCATGGTCGCTTGTGACCAGTAGTGACCAAATGGACATGTGCGGTACACGGCTGTAACCTCGCCGTTGGGGTTGAAGTAGCACTGGACGTACTTGTCGCAGTCTTTGGGGTGGTAGCGGTACCCGACGCCACTGACATTCATGACGTTGGCGCACAAACCTGAGGTTCAATGACAGCAAAATAAATACCGGGCTTTACCTACACTTATAAAAGGACAGAGCTTGAAAGATTATTCTTGTTAATACTAGACAAGAAACATTTTAAGATAGCAGTAATGAAAATGAGGATTTAGCTATAATCCATTGATATAACGACGGGAGACCAGGGTGGACTTACTAATCCCACCTCAAGTTAAACTGTTTTTACCGGCCCATACTCATCTGTTGGCTCCGTGATCACTGATCGAGCTCTTACCTGGAATATCTGTAACAAAGGAAACAATAGTCAGTCTATGTTCAAGCATTGCTTTAATGGTGATGAGAATGTGACATGGGTTCCAAGTCTTTTAGTTCTTTTCATTCGTTCCTTTTGAGTTCATGATTGATTAATTAATTAATACACCTGTACAAAGTTGAAAATTTGACCTAGAAGAAGTAGTTGGTTGGATGGGTTGTTGTTTAACGCCGCGCTCAGCAATATTCCGGGTATATGTCAGTCGTCTGTAATTATTGAGTCTGGACCAGACAATCCAGTGATCAACATCATCAGCATCGCTCTAAGCAATTGGGATACGATGTGTCAACCAAGTCAGCGATCCTGACCACCCGGTCCCGTCAGTCGCCTCTTACATGCATGGGTTGCTTAAGACCAGTTCTACCCCAGGGCTTAGATTTTCGAAGCTCTCTTAGCGCTAAGATAGTCGTAAGTACCATACATTAACATTAACTTACAACTATCTTAGCGCTAAGAGAGCTTCGAAAATCTAGGCCCTGATCTTTAAGAGTTCGAAGTAACAGTTATACCTGTACAGGTTGGTATGTTGCACGCATCATTTCTGTACTCAATGTTATTTCCTGCGCAGTTTGAGTGCGTTGGCGAGGCTTTGTTGCACACTCGTGTTCTGCTGACCTGTCTCACGGTGTTGACTGGTCCACAGGAAGGGCAGTTGGGCAGCTTCCATGCCGTCCATGCAGACCAGGTTCCTGGGGAAATACATGGGGATGGTTTGTATAGCAGTTCGGTTACTTCACGTTGTTTTTGCTTGCATCAATGTTATGGTTTAACGCTACACTCATTGATGTCCCATTCATATGTAGTCGATCTGTATATAACCTAGTCAGAACAAGGCAATCCGGTGATTGACAAGGGCTTCCATCTACGCATCTGGGATACGTCACTAGCATAAACTGACCACTCATTCAAGCCGGTGACCTCCTAATACAAGCTTCTACACAGGGGTCTCCGAAGTGGCACAAGCGACCACAAAACATGAATACCTTGCATGTTTATACACCACAAAACATGAATACCCTGCATGTTTATACACCACAAAACATTAATACCCTGCAAGTTTATACACCACAAAACATTAATACCCTGCAAGTTTATACACCACAAAACATGAATACCCTGCATGTTTATACACTACAAAACACAAGTACCCTGCATGTTTATACACCACAAAACAGTAATACCCTGCATGTTTATACACCACAAAACATTAATACCCTGCATGTTTATACACCACAAAACATTAATACCCTGCAAGTTTATACACCACAAAACAGTAATACCCTCCATATTTAAACACCACAAAACATAAATACCCTGCAAGTTTATGCACAACAAATATTAATACCCTGCATGTTTATACACCACAAAACATGAATACCTTGCATGTTTATACACCACAAAACATTAATACCCTCCATGTTTATACACCACAAAACATTAATACCCTGCATGTTTATACACCACAAAACATACATACCCTGCATGTTTATACACCACAAAACATAAATACCTTGCAAGTTTATGCACAACAAATATTAATACCCTGCATGTTTATACACCACAAAACATTAATACCCTGCATATTTATACACCACAAAACAGTAATACTCTGCAAGTTTATACACCACAAAACATTAATACCCTGCAAGTTTATGCACAACAAATATTAATACCCTGCATGTTTATACACCACAAAACATTAATACCCTGCATATTTATACACCACAAAACATTAATACCCTCCATGTTTATACACCACAAAACATTAATACCCTGCATATTTATACACCACAAAACAGTAATACCCTGCATGTTTATACACCACAAAACATTAATACCCTGCAAGTTTATGCACAAAAAATATTAATACCCTGCAAGTTTATGCACAACAAATATTAATACCCTGCATGTTTATACACCACAAAACATGAATACCTTGCATGTTTATACACCACAAAACATTAATACCCTCCATGTTTATACACCACAAAACATTTATACCCTGCAAGTATTATACACCTCAAAGTTTTTATACACCGCAGAATGTTCATATCCTGCATAAATTTAACACCAGAAATAATTAATATCCTACACCACCAAATGATAATACCTTGAATAATAATACACCACCAATGTTCATTCACCGTATTACTTCAGAATTCGTCTTGTACACGGGGAGTACATAACCTTGGCTCAGGTGTACGTTCATTACAAATTCAATCTTATTCACATGTGTGTTGTAAAAAGGTAATAACCATGTCAAAGTACCTATACAGTTGGCAACGTTGCAAGTTCTAATTTGCTGCTCAAAACTTGATCCTGGGCAGAATGTTTGGCCAAACACCTGGTTACATGTTCTGGTTCGAGAGGCAGTTCGTGTGACTCCCACACCACAAGATGGACAACCTGGATCCGACCATGAGTTCCAGGTGTTCCAGGTAGCTACAACACAACAATCACGTGACCAGACTACACAACACAACACAAACACAACAAAACAATAAACATAAACATCAAAAGCACATTCACAGATTGGTTTTACAACTTTAACACAAACGAACACACATCTAGAAGCACACTTATAGGATATTGTACATTACATACTCTTGAAACAAATTCAGCCGCACATTGATCTGGTGCCAGCATATGTACATACCCGTTCCTGTCCCAATGAGACGTACCTGTACATACGGGAATTGAACAGGTATCGAACCTCGAGTCAGTGGTTGACCCTGGACAGTTGACATCAGTTGAAAGTTGTTTGTTGCACACCCTGTTCCTGGTAACCTGTCTTTGAGTGCCAACTGATCCACAGGTAGGACAGTTTGGCGTAGTCCAGGAGGTCCACGCTGCCCAGGTTCCTGAAATGCCAGTGTGTGTTACCCACTGCACAACGCATACAACATGACTGACATATTAAGTAATCTATCACTATCACTAATTTCTTCAACAATTAAACGTGACTTTACGAAGGTACAAAGTGTTTATAAGTCCAGTCCCAATGTTCAGGTAAAACATGCCGATCAGCTCGACAGGGAGGAACATCGCATCCCTGTACAAAGACATGTATGGAGGTTAGCATTGTTCCTACCATACCTACATACATATCTGCACATGTACATAGGTATGGATGGATGGATGGATCAATAACGAGATCCAAATAAGTTAACGCTACAAGTTCTGATTTCCGAGTCAGTGTAGTTGATCATTTGCTGTTACACTGACTGACTGACTGAGTTTGGTTTTACGCCACTTTTAGCAATATTCCAGCAACATCACGGCGGGGGACACCAGAAAATGGGCTTCACACATTGTACCCATGTGGGGATTCGAACCCGGGTCTTCGGCGTGACGAGCTAACGCTTTACCCATTAGGCTACCCCACCGCCCCATTTGCTGTTACATCTCTATCCTAAACCACTGCAGGGTTATTCTACTAACAGCAAACTGTGGGAAACACTGGCGTTTGTATGACCAGAATTGCTAAAATATCGAATGTTCAAACCTATGCAATTGGGAATATTGCACGTCCTAACAGCGGTCATGAAGCTGGACCCCGTGCAGAATGTTTGACCCGCCAGCTGGTTACATGTCCTGGTTCGACTGACAGTCCGGTTGATGTTGAGACCACAGGAAGGACAGCTCGGGGTAGACCACTGACTCCACTGGTTCCAGGAAGCTGGAACACAGCATCAACAGTTACATCGGAGCTACAACAGGGCTCCAATGTAACACGATAACACTTCTAATGGAGAGAGCTACAACACCGTTATCATGACAACAGAAAGCACAACACACACGAAACTAGCAAGATGCAACATAATATCAACATATCATATTATAAGTGCAAGACGATACGCAGTCTACAGGAACCAAACACCTCTACAAAAAAAAAACACAAACATAACTTCAATGTTCAGCTAATAAATACGTAAGGTAACAAATTGTATGTGCACCATATGTCAAACCTACTGTGCTATTTTGCAACCAGATAGGTGTTTTTCGGTACGTTCGGCTTGTCACCGCTTGGAACCGAGTTATACTACGTCATGTTAGATTGGTCTAAGGGAAACATTGATGCAGGCCTGAGAGGCTTAGCGCCATGATGAATCTAACGAGCATACGTATGGTTGTCGAACTCTGAAAACAAACGACAACTACCTTGACATGGTTGAATCTGACAAAGGACTGTTCGAGTATCAACTGTAGTTCCATTACAATCGTCGACAGTGGGATCTGTCTTGGAGCAGGTTCGAGTTCGAGTCTGTTGGGTGTTAATATTGACCCCGCAGGTGGGACAGTTTCCAGTTGCCCAAGTTGTCCATGTTGTCCATGTCCCAACTAAAAGAGAGCTCAGTACATTACGCCATCTTGAACACCCTTAGTATGCTAACTACAGTAATAACCCTCACTGTAACTCGAATGATGCGAGCCGTTAAGATCCGGGTTAGAACTGATCTTCAGTAACAGATGCTTGTCGTAAGGGGAGACTAACGGGATCGGGTGGTCATGCTCGCTGACTCGGTTGACACATGTCACCGCATCCCAATTACGGAGATTGATGCTCATTCTGTTGAGTGTCTCGTCCAGACTCGATTATTTACAGACCGCCGCCATATAGCTTGAATATTGCTGAGTGCGGAGGTAGACAACCAAACCATCCAACCAGCCGGTCTAAGGACGTGTCTGGAACAGCTCGGCACCTTGATACCAATTTGGGGAATTTGTCGTCCATTAATTGTGTACAGAAGTTAATAGCATGCTTTCATGATGCATTGTTTTGATACAAGTTATATAATCCTGGTTATTCCCTGGGGCATTAGGGATATCCTGCTAGCGCAGGGTATTCATCTCTTACGTCAGTGCCACGGGTACAATAACCTTTGTACTTTCAAGGACAACTATCGCCAGAGGGTTACCGGTCGTATTGTTACTGGCTGAACAGGTCGAAATTTGAAGGGATATTTCTATCTTGTACTTGGTTACTTCTAGTGTTACTTAGCTAAAGGTATTAGCTTGGCTGTTATATTTTTAGTATTCCGAGATAAACTAATTTCCCTTGATTACAAGTTGAGGTCAAACATCTTTACATTATCGTCAGTCAAGTTACTCTTTAGGTCAAGTACCTGTATGTTATGTTTTTCAGTCCAGGCGACTTTATTGTTTAAGAGCAGGCTCTGTATTCAGACGTGTTCATCTAGTCGTAATTGTCGAAGAGACATATTTTAGGGATAACCCAATCCCCACCCCCACCCCCAGCCCCACGCCCACCCCTCATTTCTCCCTTACTGACAGAGCGGAAGTTACCGGTTCTATTGAGAGGTGAGTCTACACAAACTACCCTAGATGTGGTGTAAAAGCTGACCTAAACTCAGGTGACATCTATGTGCACATAAAAACATCAAAGACAAAATAAAATAAAGTTTGAAAATATTCCCACCAAACATCAAGAGTCTTCAGAGTTCCACTCACCTCGACATGTGGCAATGTTGCATGTGTCTGTTTTAGTGTCTGTGGCTGCACCAGGGCAGTCTAAATCTGTTGTAAGCGCCTTGTTACATGTTCTGGACCGGGTGAACGTTCCTGTGCTCGTTGTACCGGTAGGGTTACAGGATGGACACCCGGTGGCCGCCCAGCTGTTCCACTGTGTCCAAGTCCCTAAAAAGGACCAGATTGTACATGACGAGGTTTACCAAAACTACGCTGTATACCCAGCTTCTGACAGCAGTCGGCTATTTTACTGGGACCTACTAGGCCATATATATTAGGCAAGATATTGCTAGATCAATTCACCCAATGTTCTTTTTACCTAATAAATAATTCCAGTTGTTTTAGTTTCACAACAGTTTGTGTTCTTATTGGAAGGTGAAACTTTCAACTATTATAACCAGTGCCAAATTCATTAAAACAAATCAAAACTTCAGGTAGGTAAAAAATTCAAGAAAACAAAATCAGGTCCTGGTTTCCTTGTGACCAGCATTCAGTCCACAAACTTTATTCGAATTAAGGGCCACTTAAGGCTGAGTAATGATGCGTCCAGTGCTGACCACCTACTTTTTCACTTTGGGACGGTATAACCAACTCAACATGAAATGCAGTTTGTTGAAGCTGATGAATTTGCTTCAGGGTCTGTCTTGCATAAACATGACGTATTGTATTATGCTTTACTTTTTATGCACAGAATATAAAAATCAGTTCGTTTCCATATCTGAAGGAGAGTGAAATACGTTTTCTGAGCAGATGACAGTAAATGTCAAGGTCAAAATACCTATGCAATTGGGAATGCTGCAAGTTCGGACTTCAGTGGAAGTGCTGGAACCAGTACAAAATGCTTGACCAGCCACCTGGTTACATGTTCTGGTTCGGATGAAAGTCCGTGAGATGCTCAGACCACATGAAGGACAAGGGTTATTCCACTGATTCCAGGTGTTCCAGGTAGCTACAACACAACATTCACATGACGACAAGACGACACAACACAAATACTGCACTTTGTTAAAACGTTGTCTCAGACAAATACGTCAAAAGGCATATCCACACTCCGGTGTCACGCAACACAATTACACAGGAACACACGACTGCAAGAAAGAACAAGCGATGATGCATCTATGACAGTTATAGAGCAGGATCAGTATGTATACATCTGTATATGTCCACCAGAGACGTACCTGTACATACGGGAATTGAACAGGTATCGAATCTGGAGTCAGTAGTTGACCCTACGCAGTCGAGATCAGTTGAAAGTTGTTTGTTGCACACCCTGTTCCTCGTAACCTGTCTTTGTGTACCGACTGGTCCACAGGTAGGACAGCTTGGAGTGGTCCAGCTGGTCCACGCTGCCCAGGTTCCTGAAATTCCACCATTCGTTACCCTCCGTAAAGTCATCAGCTTCAATCCGAAATCTATACAACTGTTTTAAAGTCAGCGCCCGTTTTGGTTTTGATATTGAATAGAAGCGACAAAACCCTTTCCACATCTAGTAGAAATTTCTGCTAAAACCATTGTACAATTGTGACATCTTGAGAAACCATCTGAAATGTTTATATTGCCTTTACCAACTGTCACCAAGTCCCTATAATAGAGAGATGTCATCCTACCGACGAATCAGCCTGTGACCACCAGACTGCTACCCTGTCACCAAGGTATTGTGCAGTACCAACATGACCAATATGTTTACCTTGTGCGTAGTGGTATATGTACATATACAAAGGTAACTTAGCAAGGACATTTATCAGTCAGTCATTGAATCATATTTTCTATTTTTTATGCAGTCTAATAATACCCGAGATTTAGGAATAGTTTATCCACTGCAAACCCAATCTAATCAAAACTGTTGTCACAAGAGACTTTAAGCAGAAAGGAAAGTTAAGCATTGGTTACAAGTACAGCTGCGAACGATGTACGAACGGTTTTTGTACCATTTCGTATGGCCTTCTTAAGGCATATGTAGGAGAATCCAACTTTCGTAACCGTTCGTAAGTTCGTAAACTGGTTTCGACCAAGATCTCTACGGCCGCCCCTCGAAAACCCCTGTTGATGTCCGTAAGTATCCCGTAGGAAGATCCCATGAACCCTTACGAAGCACGTACGACAGAAAAGCACCTTATTTTACCTTAAGTACCAACTCCGTAAGAAGGCCATAAGAAATTATGCCCCTTCCTCGAATATCTGCGAACTCCAGAACCCGTAGGAACTTGGAGATTTGTACGAATCAATCGTTCGTAGAATCTTTGCGACCATAGCTGTACTCGAAGTTATCATTTGACAAGAGAGCATTCTGACATTTATGTCGGTAGATTAGACAAACTATAAACATATCAAACCTTGGCAGTTGGAAATAGTGCAAGTCCTAACTTCTGAGGAAAAACTGGAACCAATGCAAGACGCTTGTCCGGCAACTTGGTTACAAGTTCGGGTTCTTATGGCAGTTCGAACGATGTTCTGCCCACATGAAGGACAACCCGGGTCAACCCATGCCCCCCAGGTATTCCAGGTAGCTACAACACAACACAACACAATGCCTCCTATAGCGGCTACAACACCAACACGACTATTCTAATACGAGTTACAACACGACACGAACAATTGCTACACAACACTAACACACAGTGGGGCTACAAAACAAACACGTCTGATAGGAACTGTACGTTACACAATCCTTACACTGTACTCGGGGTTAGGAGATTCATAAGAACAGGCATTCTCAGAAGAGCAAGAACATTGGTAACGGTTTTTTAACTTACAATAAGATGATTAGACACGGTAAATCGGGGCGCTGATGAAAGAAGGTATCGCCAAAACTTAGTTGTACCTGTACATAAGGGAATTGAACATTGGTCGGTTCTAGACGATGTGCTTAGTCCAGGACAATTGGCATCAGTCGATCTCACTTTATTGCAAGTCCTGGATCGGGAAACTGATCGTGTGGTCCCCGATGGTCCACACGTGGGGCAAGCAGGTCCATTCCAGCTTGTCCACGCGGTCCAGGTTCCTGGAATTGTTATTTATTATCTTCTTCTTTAGGTGTTTATAGGCGTTTCACATCACGCGGGTTTTAAAGTAAGTATTAAGCAAGTGATTCGTGTTTTGTTTCTGAAGCCTATTCAACAGGAACATTGATGCAATTCAGAACTGTTTATCATAATTCAATCAATAAAGAACGACCATTTGTAGTTAATCGTTTGCAAATGTTTCTATCACCTAAACCAGAGCAAAAACAGTCTTTAAGTGGAAAAAAGTATGGAATATGGGAGAAAGATGACACCCAAGTAATTAGGTGACTCAGATGTTGAATATTCAGACCTATGCAGTTGGGAATGTTGCAACTCCTGACTTCGGTGCTAAAACTGCTCCCTGAGCAAAATGATAGGCCCGCCAGCTGATTACACGTTCTGGTTCGAGAGGCAGTTCGTGTGACTCCCAGACCACACGATGGACAACCTGGATCCACCCATGGGCTCCAGGTGTTCCAGGTAGCTACAACACAAGACGGTACAACACCACTAACATACACCACAACACGATACAAGTACTACCGAGTTTGGTTGCTGACAAGTACAACACAACATCAACACATTTGGTAACATAAGTAAATCACATCCACACAAATCACAACATAAATAACGTTAATAAGCCACTCATCAAGTTAACGATCGAGCACAAACTACAACAGTACATACATTGACATTGAGAATATTGCAAGCAGCATAGTGCGCCATGAACCTTCATGAGTTTTTGGTTTTGAAAACATATTCAGGACTGCACTGAACAGTTAGACTATTTTCCAAACATGGTCATTTGCAGATGATAGTCTGAGGTTGCCTGGCAACTACTGAGGCCATGGTCATTATATTACCTTCGCACTGTGGAATCTGGCAGAGAACGGTTTGCGTTTCACTTGTACTTCCAGGACACTCTGTATCGGCTACATTGGCCCTAAAGCAGGTTCGAGTTCGATTCTGTTCGGTGTTAACATTGTTCCCACAGGTTGGGCAGCTGCCGGCTGACCATGATGACCACACAGTCCAGCTCCCAACTAAAACAAGATAGTACACAGTGCCCCATTCTTGTAATACTGGGAATTATTTCAGTGTTTAATCATGCCCTAAATCTTATCTGAAGCATTTGTCCTAAACATTCTACACCATTGATATCGTTGATATTGAGGGCATGTCCGAAGGCACTTTCATATCTGAAAGTAAATAGGGGCGATTAATGTCTGAGAGCTGTATTACCTCTGGATGTCCTTCCACATTACGTTCACATGCCGAGATGACGCAAATACCTTTTAAAGCAATATTTCTTATTCACTTGGTGGTACCTCATGAAACTGGCTGTACAACTGAGCTACCAGGTGTTACATTGTTTAAGGTTTCTTCTTTACAGTGCCTGATGATACACCATATACTCATTTACATCAATCCGTGAATACACCGTTCCGTACCTACACAAGTCCACAGGACTCATACTCTGGATTTATAGCAATATATCAGCCCAGAAAAGGGCTTCACAAAATGTACCCATGTTCGGAATGGAACACAGAACTTCGGCGGGACAAATGATCGCTTTAACCTCGAGGCTACCTCCACAGCCTTAATTGCAACAAACACAACGCACACTGTATAACGCACTCACCTCGACATGTGGCAATGTTGCATGTGTCTGTTTTAGAGTCTGTGGCTGCACCAGGGCAGTCTAAATCTGTTGTAAGCGCCTTGTTACATGTTCTGGACCGGGTGAACGTTCCTGTGCTCGTTGTACCGGTAGGGTTACAGGATGGACACCCGGTGGCCGCCCAGCTGTTCCACTGTGTCCAAGTCCCTGGGAAATACAAGATTTTACATGGCTAGAAATTGCTAGAATAATTCATCCATTGTTCTTTTCACAAGAATATGAATCCAGTCTTTAGTAGCAGTGTTGCACTTCTGAGTGACATTTTATTGGAAGGTGAATATTTCAACTATCACAACCAGTGCCAAAGTCATTTAACGTGAACATTTCAAGCAAAGTCCTGTATATGCAATATGGTATATTGGTTTGCCTTGTGACCAGTATTCTGTAGACAAACTTTATTTGAATTGAGGTACGCTTAAGGATGAGTAGTGATGCGTCCATTGCGGAACAGTCTAGTGGGACAGTAAAACCCACTTGTACTGAAATGCAGTTTCTCGAAAAACAGCATCTTGAATCTGATGAACTTGCTTTAGGTATTGTCTTGCATAACCGCTGTGATGTTGCTGGAATATTGCTAAAAGCGGCGTAAAACTAAACGCAGTCAGTCAGTCAGTCTTGCATAAACATGACGTTTTGTATTATGCTTTAAACAAAACTCACTCACTCACTCGTGGAAATGGGTACGTAGGAACATGTGCATTCCACATCAATCTAAAATATCTGAACTGGATGAGGAAAGCAATAATTATCGAGGTCAAATACCTATGCAATTGGGAATGCTGCAAGTTCGGACTTCAGTGGAAGTGCTGGAACCAGTACAAAATGTTTGACCAGCCACCTGGTTACATGTTCTGCTTCGGGTGAAAGTCCGTAAGATGCTCAGACCACATGAAGGACAAGGGTTATTCCACTGACCCCAGGTGTTCCAGGTAGCTACAACACAACATTCACGTGACGGCAAGACGACACATTATTCACATGACGACATAACGACAAGACAAACACGTTACAACACAAATACGTCAGAAACACATCAACACAAAGGTGTCATACAACGACATTACACAGGAACACATCAACACAAAACATGAAAAGCACTTATATACGACAGGAATAGAGCAGAATCGGTATGTAGACATCTGTACATGTCCACCAGAGACGTACCTGTACATACAGGAATTGAACAGGTATCTAATCTGGAGTCAGTGTTTGACCCTACGCAGTCGAGATCAGTTGAAAGTTGTTTGTTGCACACCCTGTTCCTCGTAACCTGTCTTTGTGTACCGACTGGTCCACAGGTAGGACAGCTTGGCGTGGTCCAGCTGGTCCACGCTGCCCAGGTTCCTGTAATAGCCAGCGTGTGTTTACCTATGTGGAGCCATCGGCTTCAAACGTATACCTAAACTCAACTGTTTTAAAGTCAGTGCCCGTTTCGGCTTTCACATTAAAACTACTTGTCATGTGTTATTGGCATTAATTCCTTTTCTAAAAGTCAAGAGAGACTTTTTGAGGCAAAATGCGAAGTTTTGGGGAAATTCCTCAAACATGAAAACCAATGTTAACTGACGTTTACTGCGAGGACAATATAACATGTACGCACATTTAGGAAGGGGGGTAACTCTTAGGAAAGAAGTGGACATTTACAGGAGCACCAAAAAATGAGGACCCTCATTGCGGATCTCTTTCTTTGTACAATAAGAAACATAATCTCTGCTTGGGTTAGCAAGATCAGAACAAGGTAATTTGGACAAGACGTTTATCTGGACGTTTTGGGGAAATCGGTCATCTAACACCGTTCAATAATCACTTGATCAAGAAACAGAAATAACGGTGACAAGTGAGATCGCCTCATGAGTTTCATATTTACATCTATGCATAAAAATCAGTGGTGTCAAAAGTCTCTCCACAAAGCTACATCTCAAAAGGGATATATTCTTTCCAATAGTCAACTTTCCCTTCACGTGGAGCAACATTCCAAAAGCTCCAGCCTTTGGAGTTTACATTTTACGACTTTTGAAGTACAATTAAGCACGCTTTTTCTATCCAGATTTCACAAAGCGTCATACATAAAGCTTCAAAACGTTTTATGGTAGACATGTGTAGTAAATTTTAAGCATCAGTGACAAAAATGATGTTGGATGCAATTCCCTATATTGACTTGATCCATACCTTTCTGGTTTGTTTAAGGTAAACAAGTGACCTAGCATATGTTAACGACGCGTGCAACACATGGGACTGGATACGTTGACGTATTCGTGAACACATCGGATCGTCAGTAGCTTCAGAGTGTTTCATAAACACATGCTTGTAATATAGCCAAATTTCTACCATTGCCTCAACCTTTAGCAGTGATTTTAAGGATATGGAGCATGAGTTTCTCAGATATTATTGTATATCCAAGACCATGCGAGAGCTATCCATTAAAAAAGCAGGGTAGAAAAAACACACGTTTCTGTAGCTTACAAACAGACGTTTAACCAACTCAAACTAAAAACCGGTTTGCATGAAAACGATATGGTGTATCTCATGAATTTGCTGTAGTGTCTGTCGTGTCACAAACGCTGCATTGCACTATGCTTACAATTCCTGCACAGAATCAAAATCTCAGTTTGTTTTTTGATTCTGAATGACAATCAAATGATCTCGTATGGTACTAAGGCAATTCTTAAAAATGCCTTCAAGTAGAAACATGTACAGGCTCATTTCTACGAAATGAACATATCTGAAGCGTATGTGGAAAGCAATAATTATCGAGGTCAAAATACCTATGCAATTGGGAATGCTGCAAGTTCGGACTTCAGTGGAAGTGCCTGAACCAGTACAAAATGCTTGACCAGCCACCTGGTTACATGTTCTGCTTCGGGTGAAAGTCCGTAAGATGCTCAGACCACATGAAGGACAAGGGTTATTCCACTGACCCCAGGTGTTCCAGGTAGCTACAACACAACATTCACGTGACGAGACGGGGACACAAACATTCACATGACGACAAGACGACACAACATTCACATGACGACATGACGACAAGACGTCACAGCACAAAGACAAACACGTTACAACTTGAAAACAAATACGTCAGAAACACATCAACACAAAGGTGTCATGCAACGACATTACACAGGAACACATCAACATAAAACAAGAAAAACACTTATATATGACAGGAATAGAGCAGAATCGGTATGTAGACATCTGTACATGTCCACCAGAGACGTACCTGTACATACGGGAATTGAACAGGTATCGAATCTCGAGTCAATGCCTGACCCTACGCAGTCGAGATCAGTTGAAAGTTGTTTGTTGCACACCCTGTTCCTCGTAACCTGTCTTTGTGTACCGACTGGTCCACAATTAGGACAGTTTGGCGTGGTCCAGCTCGTCCACGCTGCCCAGGTTCCTGAAATTCCCACCATGTGTTACCCTCAGCAAAAGCTGGCAGCTTCAAACCAAAATCTGTACTCAACTGTTCTAAACTCAGTGCCCGTTTTAGTTTTGATATTGAAGCCACATGTTTTGTGTAATTGTCAAGAATTCCCTTTCTTACAGTCAAGGGTTATTTTGGGAGGCTCAATGTATTGTTCTTGATAATTCGTGAAAAAAGGGAAAGCATGTGCAATCTGAAGTTGATCACAAAGGCAATATTGGTAATCGTATTTTACCATTTAATTCTATAGACATCTGTGTTGCGAGGTTTATGGATGTTTGCAATGATTGATGGACATAAGATTCTGCGTTTGTACACACGTACATGATACGTATCAATTTATTTATACAGGTCCATTTCTCCTGAATCAAGGTATTTGGAATGGACGGGGAAAGCAGGAAATATTAGGCCAAAAATACCTATGCAATTGGGAATGCTGCAAGTTCGGACTTCAGTGGAAGTGCTGGAACCAGTACAAAATGCTTGTCCAGCCACCTGGTTACATGTTCTGCTTCGGGAGAAAGTCCGTAAGATGCTCAGACCACATGAGGGACAAGGGTTATTCCACTGACCCCAGGTGTTCCACGTAGCTACAACACAACACTCACGTGACGAGACGGGGACACAACATTCACATGACGACAAGACGACACAACATTCACATGACGAGACGGAGACACAACACAAAGACAAACACGTTACAACTTGAAAACAAATACGTCAAAAACACATCAACACAAAGGTGTCGTCTAACAAAATTACACACAGAAAGACACAACACAACACAAGAAAAACACAAGCGAAGACTTATATATGACAGTTATAGAACAGGAACAGTAATACTATGTATAAATCCGTACATGTCCACCAGAGACGTACCTGTACATACGGGAATTGAACAGGTATCTAATCTGGAGTCAGTGTTTGACCCTGGACAGTCGAGATCCGTTGAAAGTTGTTTGTTGCACACCCTGTTCCTCGTAACCTGTCTTTGTGTACCGACTGGTCCACAGGTAGGACAGTTTGGCGTGGTCCAGCTGGTCCACGCTGCCCAAGTTCCTAAAATTACCAGCCTTTGTTACCCTACGTAAAGTCATCAGCCGTAAACCTAAATCTTTACAATTGTTATAAAGTCAGTGCCCATTTAGGTTTTGATATTGAAACCACTTGTTATGTATTATTGAGTTGTTTTGGCTGGTTCCTAAAAAAAGTGAGATCAATTCTGGGCTAACGTTTACTGCGAATTAGGTAAAGCGCTGGATTTCTATCAGTGATAACATTTACGTACATTTGGGGAAAGGGGGTAACTTTTAGACAAGAAGTAGACACCCACAGGGGCACAAAATGATCTTGGGCGGATCTCGTTCATTATGCATATGAATCAAAATCTCTGCTCTGGTTGGCGAAATGAAAGTGCAGTAATTCGGACATGACGTTCGGGTATGTCGATGATTTAATATCATTTAATAACTCTCAAATAACCATGTAATTTTAAACTAATTTATAAAATTGAGCTATAAATAAATGTGACAAGTGAGATCGTCTGATGTGTTTCATAATTACATGCATGCATAAAGATCCAGTCTTTCATACATCTCTCCACAAGGCTGCATCTCAAAGGGGATGAAATATTCTTTCCAGTAGTCAAAATTTCCTTCATGTCGATCAAAATTCCAAAAACTCCAGCAATTTGGAGTTTACATTTTACAACTGTTGAAGTCCAATTAAGCCTGTTTTTTTCTATCCAGGTTTCACAAAGCGTCATACATGAAACTTCAAAATGTTTTGCGGTAGGCATCTGGCGGAAATTTCATAACTTTACTCGTCAGCGACAAAAGTTATGTCTTATGCAATTCACCATTTTGACTTGTACCAAACGTTTCAGGTTTGATTAAGTTGAAGAATTGACTTTGTATATCATGTATTTGGTGAATTTGTTATAGTTTCTGTCCTGCAAAAGCATGTTCTATTGTATTATGATTTAGAATTTCTGTAAAAGAGTCACAATTTCCCTTTACTTTTGGATTCTGAATGATGTCGTATGATAAGAAGGTAATTCTTTCAAACATGTAAAGGTTCATTCCTACTAAAACACCGTATGTCAAATAGGTGTGGAAAGCAATAAATGTCGAGGACAAAATACCTATGCAATTGGGAATGCTGCAAGTTCGGACTTCAGTGGAAGTGCTGGAACCAGTACAAAATGCTTGACCAGCCACCTGGTTACATGTTCTGCTTCGGGAGAAAGTCCGTAAGATGCTCAGACCACATGAAGGACAAGGGTTATTCCACTGACCCCAGGTGTTCCACGTAGCTACAACACAACATTCACGTGACGAGACGGGGACACAACATTCACATGACGACAAGACGACACAACATTCACTTGACGAGACGGGGACACAACACAAAAACAAACACGTTACAACTTGAAAACAAATACGTCAAAAGCACATCAACGCAAAGGTGCTACGCAACGAACATTACAGAAGCACACAAGACATGACAAGAAAAGCACAAGCAAATACGTGTATATGACAATTATAGAGCAGAAAGGGCATGTACATCCGTACATGTCCACCAGAGACGTACCTGTACATACGGGAATTGAACAGGTATCTAATCTGGAGTCAGTGTTTGACCCTGGACAGTCGAGATCCGTTGAAAGTTGTTTGTTGCACACCCTGTTCCTCGTAACCTGTCTTTGTGTACCAACTGGTCCACAGGTAGGACAGTTTGGCGTGGTCCAGCTGGTCCACGCTGCCCAAGTTCCTAAAATTACCAGCCTTTGTTACCCTACGTAAAGTCATCAGCTTCAAACCTAAATCTTTACAAATCTTATAAAGTCAGTGCCCATTTAGGTTTTGATATTGAAACCACTTGTTATGTATTATTGAGTTGTTTCGGCTGGTTCCTAAAAAAAGTGAGATCAAATCTGAACTAACGTTTACTGCGAATTAGGTAAAACGCTGGATTTCTATCATTGATAACGTACATTTGGGGAAGGTTGGGGGTGGAAGGGGTAACTTTTAGACAAGAAGTAGACACCCACAGGGGCACAAAATGATCTTGGGTGGATCTCGTTCTTTATGCATATGAATCGGAACCTCTGCTCTGGTTGCCGAATTAAAAGTGTAGAAATTCGTACATGACGTTCGGGTATGTCGATGATTTAATATCATTCAATAACTCTCAAATAACCATGTAATTTTGAACTATTTACTAAAATTGAGCTTTAAATAAATGTGACAAGTGAGATCGTCTCATCTGTTTTATAATTACATGCATGCATAAAGATCCAGTCTTTCATACATCTCTCCACAAGGCTGCATCTCAAAGGGGATGATATGTTCTTTCCAGTAGTCAAAATTTCCTTCATGTCGATCAAAATTCCAAAAACTCAACCAATTTGGAGTTTACATTTTACAACTGTTGTAGTACAATTAAGCACGTTTTCTTCTATCCAGGTTCACAAAGCGTCATACATAAAACTTCAAAATGTTTTGCGGTAGGCATCTGGCGGAAATTTCTAAACTTTACTCGTCAGCGACAAAAATTATGTCTGATGCAATTCACTATTTTGTCTTGTTCCAAACGTTTCCGGTTTGATTAAGTTGAAGAATTGACTTTGTATATCATGTATTTGGTGAGTTTGTTTCGGTTTCTGTCTTGCAAACGCATGTTCTATTGTATTATGATTTAGAATTTCTGTAAAAGAGTCACAATTTCCCTTTACTTTTGGATTCTGAATGATGTCGTATGATAAGAAGGTAATTCTTTCAAACATGTAAAGGTTCATTCCTACTAAATCACCGTATGTCAAATAGGTGTGGAAAGCAATAAATGTCGAGGACAAAATACCTATGCAATTGGGAATGCTGCAAGTTCGGACTTCAGTGGAAGTGCTGGAACCAGTACAAAATGCTTGACCAGCCACCTGGTTACATGTTCTGCTTCGGGAGAAAGTCCGTGAGATGCTCAGACCACATGAAGGACAAGGGTTATTCCACTGACCCCAGGTGTTCCAGGTAGCTACAACATAACACAACACAACATTCACTTGACGAGACGAGGACACAACACAAAGACAAACACGTTACAGCTTCAAAACAAATACGCCAAAAGCACATCAACACAAAGGCGTCGTCTAACAAAATTACACAGAAAGACACAACCTCAAGAAAAACACAAGCGAAGACTTATATATGACAGTTATAGAACAGGAACAGTATGTATACATCCGTACATGTCCACCAGAGACGTACCTGTACATACGGGAATTGAACAGGTATCGAATCTGGAGTCAGTGTTTGACCCTGGACAGTCGAGATCCGTTGAAAGTTGTTTGTTGCACACCCTGTTCCTCGTAACCTGTCTTTGTGTACCGACTGGTCCACAGGTAGGACAGTTTGGCGTGGTCCAGCTGGTCCACGCTGCCCAGGTTCCTGTAATAGCCGGTAAGAGTGTTACCCTCCGTTAAACAATCAGCCGCAAACCTAAATCTATACTCAACTGCTCTATACGTGCTTATTTTGATATTGAAACCACTTGTAATGTATATGTCCGTACTTTCATTTCTAACAGCCAAAGGATGACTTTGGGAGGCACAATGTGTTGTTCGGGGAAATTCCTCAAATATGAAAGCAAATGTAATTTGATGTTTACTGTGAAGATCATGTGTAAAATGGTGGACTTTATCATGCAGATACTCGGACAGTTGAAGATAAAGCCGTCTTTCAACATTTAACCATTTGTATATTTTCATGTACAATATTACTCCAGGTTTCTTTTCCTCTGGGTTACATTCTGTCCACAACATTGACTGACATTAGGGAAGGCTACAGCTCCAGTATTGATAAGATCTAGTAGTACCTGGAGTCAGTGTATCCCACTCGAAATGAAATACGGTTTGCATAAAAACGGTATAATGTATCTGATAAAATTGCTTCAGCGAATGGCGTGCAAAAACATGCTGTATTCTGTTATGCCTTACAATTTATGTACACACTATCTCAGTTCAATTCATTTTTTTAATGACAATCACATCACATCATAAACATAAGCAGATGGTAGTTGTATGGTTATCATATATTATATTTAACATCTGGGTCGTGAAGGATGGTGGACGTATATATTCTAGAAATAAGCCAATGTAGGAACAATACGTGTCCATGTTAAAATACAATAAAGCAATAAATGTCGAGGACAAAGTACCTATGCAATTGGGAATGCTGCAAGTTCGGACTTCAGTGGAAGTGCTGGAACCAGTACAAAAAGCTTGACCCGACAGCTGGTTACATGTTCTGGTTCGGGTGAAAGTTCGTGAGATGCTCAGACCACATGAAGGACAAGGGTTATTCCACTGACCCCAGGCGTTCCAGGTAGCTACAACACAACATTGAAATAACAAAACTGCCCAAAACAAAAAGATATCTACTGGAATTACGACCACTTTACAGTATAACCAGGAGTGACACGAGAACATGTAACTCTGTTACTATTTGTTTACTACGGCTTGCAGTTTCCAGAGTCGTGGTTGTTGTCTGGAGATAACCCGTCTTGGTTTTAGCACAAACACGAAAAAACAAATAAGATTTAAAATCCATATGTCAACTGTGTATATATAAGTAACAGCATCACAAAAGTCCACAAAGATCATTTAGACCATCACAAGGAATGAGATTACAGGTAATAGCTATTTTGTCTGTTGTTTGTTAACACTTACCATCACAAGGAATGAGATTACAGGTAATAGCTCTGTTGTCTGTTGTTTGTTAACACTTACCACACCAAGGACTGAGATTACAGGTAATAGCTCTGTTGTCTGTTGTTTGTGAACACTTACTATCACAAGGAATGAGATTACAGGTAACAGCTCTGTTGTCTGTTGTTTGTTAACACTTACCATCACAAGGAATGAGATTACAGGTAACAGCTTTGTTGTCTGTTGTTTGTTAACACTTACCATCACAAGGAATGAGATTACAGGTAATAGCTCTGTTGTCTGTATTTTGTTAACACTTACCATCACAAGGAATGAGATTACAGGTAATAGCTCTGTTGTCTGTTGTTTGTTAACACTTACCATCACAAGGAATGAAATTACAGGTAATAGCTCTGTTGTTTGTTGTTTGTTAACACTTACCATCACAAGGAATGAGATTACACGTAATAGCTCTGTTGTCTGTTGTTTGTTAACACTTACCACACCAAGGACTGAGATTACAGGTAATAGCTCTGTTGTTTGTTGTTTGTGAACACTTACCATCACAAGGAATGAGATTACAGGTAACAGATTTAAAATCCATATGTCAACTGTATATATAAGTAACAGCATCACAAAAGTCCACAAAGATCATTTAGACCATCACAAGAAATGAGATTACAGGTAATAGCTATTTTGTCTGTTGTTTGTTAACACTACCATCACAAGGAATGAGATTACAGGTAATAGCTCTGTTGTCTGTTGTTTGTTAACACTTACCACACCAAGGACTGAGATTACAGGTAATAGCTCTTTTGTCTGTTGTTTTGTTAACACAAGGAATGAGATTACAGGTAACACCTCTGTTGTTTGTTGTTTGTTAACACTTACCATCACAAGGAATGAGATTACAGGTAATAGCTCTGTTGTCTGTTGTTTGTTAACACTTACCACACCAAGGACTGAGATTACAGGTAATAGCTCTGTTGTCTGTTGTTTGTAAGTAACAACACTTACCATCACAAGGAATGAGATTACAGGTAATAGCTCTGTTGTCTGTTGTTTGTTAACACTTACCATCACAAGGAATGAGATTACAAGGTAATAGCTCTGTTGTCTGTTGTTTGTTGTTTTACCATCACAAGGAATGAAATTACAGGTAATAGCTCATAACACTTACCATCACAAGGAATGAGATTACAGGTAATAGCTCTGTTGTCTGTTGTTTGTTAACTGTTGTCTGTTGTTTGTTAACACTTACCATCACAAGGAATGAGATTACAGGTAATAGCTCTGTTGTTTGTTGTTTGCTAACACTTACCATCACAAGGAATGAGATTACAGGTAATAGCTCTGTTGTCTGTTGTTTGTTAACACTTACCATCACAAGGAATGAGATTACAGGTAATAGCTCTGTTGTCTGTTGTTTGTTAACACTTACCATCACAAGGAATGAGATTACAGGTAATAGCTCTGTTGTCTGTGGCACTGCCGGGGCAGTCCAGATCAGTTGGGTTGACTTTCACACAGATTCGGGTTCTTTGCTGGTTGATGTTCGGATTGGTGCCACACAATGGACAGCCTGGCGTCCATACACTCCACAAACCCCACTGACCAACGGCTGCTGTAGACAGATAGCGGCTTATACAGAAACACATACAACCCACGGAAGTAATGATTTTATGTGGAAAAAAGAAAAATGTGTGATAAGTTTGACACATTTGTAAAGGTAGTTTAGGAACAATGACGTCTACTGTTACCATGGAGATTGGGAATTAAGAGGGTTTTATACGTTATGTTGTGCCAAGTCTATGGTCAGAAGAAGAATACCAGAGAACAACTAATGTTGAACAGCCATCGAAACAGACTCCATCCGGAGTTACAGGCAAAGTAGTGGTTAAACTTACATGAATGAATCACTGAAAATCAGTGATGACCCATGGTGATTCGACAATAAGAAAAGTGTTCTAAACATGAAAGTTGGTCAATGTACCATAACACGATATCTAAGGGGAGGAGTTGAAGCTGATAGTTTTGCTACAAAAGAACCAGAGAAACACTAAGACACGGTAATGTAATTTTTGTCAAACGTTTAAGCCTGACACAGATCTAGTTATGCAGTAAAACAACGGCAGTTAAAATTAGTTTATAAAAGCTGAATGGAGTAATACATTTCATTACTTTTCTGTAAACACATTTGAAATAAAAAAAATATTTTATTCGGATCGCGCAAAAATATCGAAGCTCGTTGTAGAGTTTAGACAGTGACACAGGCTCACGACAAGCAACAACAAAATGACTGTGCGAGTGTGTTGCGAAAACAACTTAAAAGAAAATGTTAAGCAGTACAACATATCCTCCTACGTTTAGGGATCATTTCTATAGTATGCATGGCCATGACTTCAGTCTACCAAACCACGAGGACAACACAACAGCGAGAACAGGACAACAGGACAACCAGTTCAGTACAGTGTGGACCCAATATCTGTTGTGTAGGGTATTAGTTGGTGACTCAACACGAGAACCAGTTGAGGGCATAAACAAAAAATCAGCTAGAATGTGGTTTACGGTTTAGAGAGCAAACTATTCTAAGATGATTTATTAACTATAAGACATGAACGTGAGAGTATTCAGTCGAGAATATCGAGAAGGATTCCAGGGGGTCCAAAATAGAAAAATAGGAATGGATTATGGAAATCAGTAACATGCATCCAGCGTCCAAGAGGATATGGCTCTATCGGCAGAACCACTCACTCACAGTTACACGTTGACAAAGACACTCGCTTCAATTCGAATTCCAGCTCAGTATTCCGCTGAGAATAGGAACTCAGTTTGGATTGATATTAGGTTCTGCATCTATGTGTAACGCAACTAAACGTGAGTTTGAATACACCTGCTTCCCTCCTCAAGGTATTTACTATTTTCTGCAACATTAGAAAATAAACAGGACACATTCATTGAATATCTCTCTTCAAGTGGATTTCAAGGCAGATTTTCCATGGTATTATGTTAAATCTTGCCGGCCGTTAGGCGGTAAAAATACGTATTTTCAGCTTTGCGAATTTCTATATTGGAAATCATATTGAACTCATAGCCGTCGTACGAGCAGTACGTTGTACGGTACCTGTTCACCTCAAACAACATCATACCCGTGAACACCCGGGTTAGAATTGGTTTCATCAACCCATGCTTGTCGTAAGAGGTCGGGTGGTCAGGTTCGCTAACTTGGTTGACACATGTCATCGTTCCCCAATTGCGTTGATCGATGCTCATGATGCTGGGTTGTCTGGTCCAGACTCGATAATTTACAGACCGCCGCCATATAGTTTCAGTATTGCTGAGTGCGGAATATAAACAAGTTCAAACAACCGCTATGATCCAAGTGCAACTTTAAATGCACACGCATTCTGGCATATCGAGGAAACGGACATAATAAGATAAACAGATTAATAGTTTTGAAGGTAATATGTGAGATTAACCCCATTGGTTAGTAGGCTGTATGACGACACTGTACATGCTGCCGGGGTGTTATCGTGCCAGGTGCGTCTACCTAAACACTGACGACAGAGATACGAGACAGTGACCTGGGCAGGCGTCTGTGTTACATGCTACTTGGAAGGTTTCACTGGAGGGACCAGCGCACGAGTTTGTGGGGTCTTCACAGGTTCTGGTTCGGGTGACTGTGAGCAGCCCTCCTCCACAAGAGGCGGAGCATTCAGTCCGACTCTCCACCCAA